CGAAGGCTAAGCCAGTGACGGTTCGCGTTGTCCCCAGTAATTCCCATGTCAAAGACGGGCGCAGCAAATAATGTGTGTGTGACTGTGTAGCTGTTTCCGGAGGGTGGATCTCGAGAGGTGAGGTTTCCAGGTGAAAGTGGACGTGTGAACTCAGGAACTGTGGTCGCATGGCCCGTGTGTGGTAACTTTGCACTGGCCCGGTCGTCCCAGAAGCCCCTGTTTGCCCCTCAGCCCTGACCATGGGTGTGGACAAGCTTTGGGGTGTCTCCCTTCCACTGGTAACGCCTCCCACCCACGGGGGTCAAAGTTGTGTTTCCCTGCAGGGATGGAGCTGAGCGGCCGTCTGGGATTTGGGGCCTTGCGTGGTTCTCAGTTCCTGGATGGATGCTCTATTCCTTTGACCGTTTTCGATTGGATTTGGGGCAGTTTGTTGTTTTTTCATTGGTCCTTTCCCGTGTTGCTTGTTGTTATGTAGTAAGAACGGACCAGTTTTGCAAAAGCAATAGTTGCTCTGAAAAACGTGAAGACTCCGGATGAAGGGTTTGGCCGGACACGGCGTAAGAAAACCTCTTAAGGGACGAGGGCGGAAACCTGTGTCCGTGTAGGGAGGGGCGTGTGGGCTTGGACGCCTCAAAGGGGGTTCGGGCGGTGGGTTGAGTGTGCGTGGCCACGGCTCTGGGTGCAAGTAGCAGCGATGGAGATGCCTCAAGGGGGACGGATAGACCGTGAAGGAGGTCCATTCAGAGTGGGAACATAGTCCGGTCACCAGACCGAGGTTCTGCATCATGTTCAGGGTCAGGTTCGGAAGGGGCGCAGGCACTGCGGGGCTGCCCGACCCGGAGGTCCACGGCCCACTGGGGACTCGCGGCTGCTGCTCGCAGGAATGAAGGAAGGAGCCAGCGCAGCCTTTAAAGGAAAAGACGGTTCCTCAGGGAAGAGGTGGGACAGTGAGTGGGCCCCTCCAGGGCAGGCAGCCCCGCCTTGGGGGGTTCACTTCGTCACGGGGGCTCCTTAAACCGAGGGGCGGGCACTCAGTCAATCACCAAGGCGAGGGACGCTCCGGAGGTTTCCAGGAAGGGGCGGAGACTTCTCGGAAGAGCCCTGTGGGCCTTACACCGGCCTCCTTATCGGGAAGGCCTGGGTCCTGTCCCAGGTGTGCGGGTGCTGCTCAGCCTGCCAAGGCCTTGCGGTGGGCGCACAGTGCGGCTGGGGGTCCGCAGGGCGAGGTCCGCCCCCGGGCCGGGCGGAGCTGGGCTTGCACTGGCTCTACCGCATCGCTCGGCCGGGGGTCGGCCTTACCTGACAGTCCCCGCAGCCCCTGGGGGTCCCAGGTGCTGTGCCACCTACCTCGTCTCGGAGTCAGCCAGCAGGGACCCCGCTGGAAGAGCGGGAGCAGCTCGGAGCGGGGAGCTGCAGCCCCACGGTAGGGACGGGGGTGGGGCGACGTGGCGGACGCGGCGGCGCGCTGGCCCCGGGGCGGGGCCGGGCGCACAGGTGTGTGAGGTCGGGCACCGGGGCGGACGGGAAGCAGGTGCGGGGCAGAGGCGCGTCCTCCGCGGGGTGACTGGGGAGTCCAGGCCATACCCGGTCCTGGTTCTGTTGTTTTCATTTCCTTTGGTGGAAATTAATGTCAACACGTCTTTCGCTTACAACAGTGTCCACTGCTGCATACATCACAGAGCACACATGTCCGATAATATTCCCGGGAAGATATCTTACGGGTAAATCTCCACCGAATTACATGAAATAATGAATAGCCGACCAAGTGTGTTATCTTGCAATGCTAGATAAAATTAATCCCTCCCTTTCAATTGCGTACAATATAAGGTTGGTTTTATTGAATTTCATTTGTTCTCCGAATGACCACAGAGCCTCGATGTAGAGTACACTCGGAAAATCTGCAGGGAGAGACGGGGTGAGCTTTATTAATTTCACTAACTCTGTTGCTTTGACTGATTTTGACCTTTCTTAACTTCCTGCATTTAAATTGCGAACCAATATTTTGCTACCTCTTGCAAGAAGAGTTTATTTCCCAGCGACTCGCATCAAAGAGAAATTTGACTTCCATGATTTAATGCTACTTTCAACAAAGAGGAAACTGCCAGAGTGTGTTTTATTTACAAAAATAACTTGTTTCATTTAAGAAGTCGTTTTCCAAAACCCCGGCCGACTGCAAGCCCAGAGGAGAAAGGTCGGATTCTCGTTGGGGGTGGGGGAGGCCCCCAGATGTCCCCACCCTGAGAGGTTCGGGCTGCAGTTCGGCCGCATTAAATCGCCGATCCACATTGCCTCCCGGAGTTCTCGTGACTCCGGCTGCGGGACGCTCTCCTTGCCCGTGGAGCTGAGTGTGGCCCTTCATACGGCCCTTGTATGAGAGGGTCCATAGTTATTTCGGGTTACTTAACGTTCCAAGATGGTATGGGGAATAAAGCCAAGAAGCTTCTGGGAGGAAGAATGATCGATTATTAAAGACGTGTCGCTTAATCAGCGTGTACCTCAGTAAGGAAAGAGCAGTGTAGGCCCAAAAGAACACGTTTTTAAAAGATGCTGCAAAAATACTCATTGAGAATACGTAGAGTGTTTGCGTAAAGAGCTACCTGCTCGGAGCTGTTACCTGCCGCAATGCATGAGGCATGATGGGAGATTTGATGGCCAAGTCCATCTTGCCTCAATAAATGTTAGCTATTAAAATAATAATTAGGCTTTTGTTTATAAATAAGGATACAGGATGCACAGCCTTTGATGGCGTTAGCATTGAACCAAGAAAATGTAAGAGTAACATAAAGAGGTTTCAGGGAATGATTATAGAAAATGGACCCTTGGCGGAATCTTTTCACTTGAGAGAGGAAACGAAAAATCCCAATGTTGAATGTCTCTTTGAAGAACTTTCGGATTGTTCTAGTGCTAAACTGTGTATCAGAGGATGAAAGCCAGCCTTTCATGCTCGTCTCAACAGGCACTCTTTGCCTTTGAAGTTGTGCATCTGATGGTGCGTCTGGAGAAATGCGGCATCCAGCCAGGCCAACCTCAGCCACTTGGCCTGGCTGAGACAGTAACTGATACAGTGCTGAGACATTTTGTGACAAATCTCCAGTATAAATTAAAATGAAACTCAATCCTAGTTAGCTATAAGCAATAACAAACCTCTTAGTCAATGTTTTCAGAGGAAAAAAACAAATTGGTATGAAAACTTCACTGTATGGAGTTCTAAGGACAAGCTTACGCTTTTAAAATGATCACCGCAAAGATGTTCAGCTAATCACATCGTGCAGCTTTATCATGGCAAAGAAACAGTAAAATGTATCTCTCTTTTCTGCAAATATGTACTTGGAAAAGATATTTGGTTTAAAATGAACACTTGTACAAACACTAACTGTTTTCTTACTGTGTCCTACACACACAAAAGAAATGAATGGGTTGGGACCTGAATTATGAGAACACTAAATGCATCTTTTAGTCCTAATGAACTCTGGTATCAAAACCAAAATAACCTTTAAAAGAATCATAACATGGTCCGTTTCTGCCCAACAAATAGACAATGGAATGCAAGCTTTATCTCTGAAACAGGCCAGGCTCTATTAAGTTGGAACTTTTTGCTTCATTTTCCCAGCTAGGTCCTGGGATTACGACGGCAGTGCCAGACTTTAGAAAATGTATCTTTTGTTGTCTCGCGACAGATTACCTAGGAACGCAACTGACAGTGACAGACGTGGGCCTGTGGTTTACATATTGTTTTCTCTTTGAAGATGAAGACCGTAGGCATGTGATTCCATGATCTCGTGCAGTGGACCCCATTGATTAATACTGACTGGTTCTGATTAGTAGGTACTTGCTCAGCATTAACACGCCTTCGGTCCCACGGCTGTTCCTCCCTCAACCACAACTGCTCTGCAGAAAAGAAACATTTCCCCAGCCTGCTTCCACACGACCAGAAATCACCACGGCTACGGACGTGCTGTAACCTTCGTGTCTTCCGGAGCAGACAGACTCCGGAGGAAACCCCCCAGCGGGGACGCGCGGCCCCCACGTGCGGCAAAAGTCACCTGCAGCTGAAATCCTCTGAATAAAATCTTCATTGCAGATTATTCAACACTTAGAACGGTCACATTTTGTATCTCCAAGCAGCTCACAGATAACAGAGACACACACACACTCTAGTCTGCTGAGCATGAGAACGATACATTTTAACGACACTGCCCAGTGAATGGCGGCTGGCCCCGTTTTCGGCGGGAGAAACTGAGGCACGGAGCTGGAACGGCTGACGAGAGACACAAAAACTTACTCCCTCTGGTGTTCTTCAGCTCGTAACTGATGGTTCCCAACCCCCCTCTTCTCAGGAAAGAGATGGTGAGGAAACACCATAAATGAGAAGCTTGCCTCCAAAGTGTATGCTCACAAGGCACTAAGCCATAATGTAAGGACTAATTGCTAATTTTGTATGTATAATAAAGACTTAGAAAGATGAACACCAGATGAAGGTGAGTTGAAGGACAAGCAATAGCTGGTGTATGGTTAAAACAGACATTTAAAATGGGCCAGGAACCTAATATAAGACCGTGTCAAATGTAATAAAAATTTCCCCAGGATTCATAAAACTGGGAGAGTGAAGACACGGAAAACCGAACCGGAAAGCAGGGTGGCTAGCGTGCGAGCTGACGCACAACTCAGTAAGTTTTCTGTAGTTTTTGAAAAATAACAATGTCCTTGAATTTTTCCTAGAAACTAAACAATTATTAAACTATATTTCTTTACAATTGAGACCTGTACAATTGTTCTATTAATGTTAATTGTATAAAATTTATACTTTATTATGTACTTATATAGTTCACTTATGAACACATAACACACTATTCTATGGACAAGAGAAGACAGTGGTTGAATTTTGTTACGGTTATTGGTACCGGTTCCTGGGAAAAGTGGTCTAGGCATTTGAAATATTCAAAGTGAGAGCACTTCAGAGAACCTTTAACATGGAGAATACACACATGGAAAATCTTATGTCCCGTATCAATGTTTTATTCCATGAAAAGAGCTGTATTCAGTTTCACATGTAAATATTTAGCACACATACATTTGCACGATTCTATTTTTATTCTATGGATTTAATATAGGCTGCACTTGTTTAAAGATGTTTATTTAAATTCAGTCCTAACAAACACATAATTTCGGGTCAGAAGTACCAAGCAATGAATGTCGCATATCGTACAAAGAATAACTCCGGATGCGAAATGTAAACACCACGTAAAGATACCAAGATAGGCCGGCTTGAAATTTTTAAATTAGATTAAATAAGCTTGAAAGGAGACTGCACTAAATGCTAACATATGGAATATAAGGTTTCCAAACGTCAATTTGGCTGGCTCTCTTGAAGGAACTGCACACGCACTGACTACTTCCTGCCTGTCTCCCGCGGTGGACCCGTGCCCGGGGAGCTGTGTGCGGCTGGAGCAGGGAGGACCCCTGGCGGTGGGTCCCCGAAATGCGCACGGCCGACCTCCACAGCCCACACGCGATTCGTGATTTCAGGAAATAGATGCCTCAAGCGCATGCTTCCAGTAAAAACATTTCCTTGTTCTTCTTCTCAAAAAAGAAAGAAACCCAAACAAAAAGGCAAAGGTTTTCAAGAGCTCTTAGACTCACTTGAAATCCGCATCCCCCCTCGGTCAGGGGCACACCCAAACCCACGTGGAAAGGTTACAAAGTTATTTTTTGCTGAGTGATAGGCAAACTTTTAAAAAAAGCATGAGGCTGTACAAAAGGGTCTTAAATATTTTCCACAGTAAAAAAAAAAAACAACAGAGGCTTGCCCGAAAAGTTGTCCCCCCTTCACCTGGTTAACCCGCTGTATGGGGGCCCTACTTGTAGAAAAACAGAAATGACATTTCATGGAAGGTTCTGAGCTGCCCCCACCGCGGCCGTTCCTATGTGCTCTGGGTCATGGCTGGACTCGCCGGGCCGTTGGCGGAAGGTTCTGGCTCCTCGGGGCCCCTGGCGGGTTTGGGGCCCCCCTCCTCTGGGCCCCCGTCCTGGCTCTTCTCTGGGGTGCCCAGCGCACACACGGAATTAGCCTCCTGTTTGGTTTGGTCCACCTCGTTATCAAACTCAATCTTATCTTCTTGGCTGGCGTGCTTCTTCACTTGCCTGGTCTGGGCCGGGTAGGTGCTGGCGATGATGTCGTACAGGAACTGGTACTGCTCCTGGGGGAGGAGAGAAGCGAGAATTCGGTGTGTGTGTGTGGCGGGGGGTGCCCCTGGGGTTTGACGGCCGACGAGAAGGAGTGGGAACGCGCTGGGCACTCATGGAACACTTGGGTCCCAGAAACCCGGTCTTCCATGTGTTCACAGACGCGACATCCCAAGTGGCTCCCTGTCTCGACAGTGTGGAGTGGGGCTGCAGGGGGCTCCTCAAACTGTAGCCGGGAACCTCACCATACGGGCCGCTCCATTTCACTCCCAGGCCGGCTGGCCCGGGATGCCAAGTTTTGCACCTAATCTCTTGGCTAGCACCCACACGTGACCTAGCATCAGAGCCCCCTCCTCCAGGAAGCCCGCCCTGATGCCCACAGGTTAAATAGTGACCTCATTCAGGTGCTTCTTATCCCGTCTCTGCCATGTCGCTCACCACACTGTGGAACTAGTATCTGCCTTTCCTCTACCCTAAACCGGGGTCTCTCAACGGCAGGAGGACATAGTAGGCCCTCAGCACACTCGGACAATCGACACACACGAGCTCTGTGTCAAACAATTAAACGCTGCATGTATTTGCGGGAGCGGGTTAGTTTGCTAATTAATTAATGACCAGTCACGAGTTAATTCCCAGACGGTCATCTGTGGTCACCACCACTTATCGAGGGCACATGCAGACGGAGCACGAAAATGCCGCACGGACCACCCTCTCTGTCCTCACGCCTCTGTGCCACGTGGCTGAGCAGGCACCCCTCCCGCCCCCCGACAGAGGAGCGGAGCCCCTTTCCCCGCCCCCGAGTCTGAGCTGGCCTGGGCTCTCGTCTGGTAAGTTCAATGTAGAGGGAGACAGGTCAGGCGGGGCCCGAGCCTGGGGGCCCGGAGAGGTCTGCTTCCTCGCTGCCGTTCTTCTGGAGACGCACAAACGGACAGAAGAGGAAAGGAGGGAGCCCCGGCTGGTGCGGCTCAGTGGCCCAAGCACCGGCCTGCAAAGCAAAGGGTCGCCAGTTCGATTCCCAGTCAGGGCACAGGCCTGGGTTGCGGGCCAGGTTTCCAGTAGGGGGGCCCTGCAGAGGCAGGCAACCACACATTGATGATTCTCTCCTTCTCTCTCTCCCCCTTGCCCTCTCCCTAAAAATAAATACTTTCTTTTTTAAAAAAAGAAGGAGGGGGGTGAGATTCACGAGCATTTAAACAAATCGTCTTCCTGCTCAGGCACGACAACGAGTCGGCGAACTCTAATTGGGTCTCCTACACGGACAACCGTTCAACGTGAACCCGCGTGCACAGTGGGAGAAAAGACAGAAGAGGAACAGAGGAGAAGAAACTGTCGAACCAGCCCCACAACACGTGCCGAAAGCAGAGGGGAGACGGACTTACAAACGTGGGCACCATCGCCGGCCGGGCTTTGCGCAGGGACTTGACCACCTGGAACACGTCTACCACGTCTTCCGTCTCCGCGCTTTCCAGGAGGTTCAGCAGAGCACAGAACACCCCGGTCTGCTGGGACCCGTCTCTGCAACGGGGACACGCGGGTGTTAAAGGTAGCTCCGCAGATCATAGAGAGCAAGGACAGTAGACCACACATGGAAAAGGAGATAGAATGTATTCTTCACCACATGCTTCCTGTGTTATTTTATCCTAATCTCTCAAGAACCTAACATTTATGCTAAGTGCATTTTGGGGGAAAATAGAATCATCCCACAGTTCAAAACCTATTTGTCTTAGGCTGAAAAATACACTTTCGTTCTGTTTGGTACTTTTCAGAGTATCATGCATTTTTATTGACATCTGAAGTTGTCGGGGTGAATAGGATGGTGCCGGTTTGATGGGTGAGGACGCCAAGTCTCTGGGGACATAAAGTCACAGCCAGACACGGACGCGGCCAGAAGCACTGGAGCTGGCATTTTGTCGGTGACCAGACCCCATGCCTTCTCCTCCTCTCTCTGCCTCTCTACTGCTTTTCACCAGCGTGTACACCTCCGAGTCCGCAGAAAGACGTATCTGTGGGATGACTCATCACAAAGAGGGCAACAAAGTGATTTGCGCACCCGTAAGAGGTATGTTCCGTGATTCTAAAGATCTCCCTCTAAGACTTTACTACTGGCAGCGTTATTTATTACTGCACACAACTCAGGAGCATGTCCCTGGTGTTCGGCCACATCCTGGGACAAACACGCTGTTTTGAACCCTAAACTGCGCTCCTCCAGCTTCCGCTCCGTAGCCACGTCACCTTGGAAACGCAAATAAATGGCAAGAAGGGTCTCTAAGGGCTCAATTCTAGACTATGCCATTCTAATCACAATACGGAGGCTTTCTGAGGAATTCAGAGAGCACTGCACTGGGTCCTGGATCCACATGTCCCGTTTCCTGTGCTACCTTCATGGAAACGTTTTCCAGTGTGCCCCCTCCTTTCGTCCAGAATCCCTTCTCTGAGGTGGGTACGTGGGCCTCGGCGGCAGACGAAAGCTAAGGGTCTGCGTGGCTCATGAGCGCGAGGGAGAACCATTTATTGCCAAAATCTTTGCCTCACGGGTCAGTTTAGAAAATCAGCTGGTGGCTTTCAAATGGAAGCCACGGAGAATTACGACTTCAGTCAATACGCATCCCATGTTCGCTGAAGACAAAGCCCTCGGTCCTCGGGGTTCTGTGGGCGCCTCTCAGGGGGCTGGTGCGCATCAGCCTACACCAGGCATCCCGCCCACCTGCCTGTTCACAGGTCCCTCCCTCCGGCCATTCACTCGTTCCGGACAGGCGGCCCTCCGGGGTCAGCGTTGGGGAGGCGCCAGGGACTCGGCGGCGACGTTACACTGGCACTAAGGGAGTCACAGCCTAGAATGGCTGCACCGTGATCTAATCACGGCTACTAAGAATATCTCTATGATAGTTACGCGGTCGGACGTAACAGAGTTGCCGACGGACTCCCTGCTAGCAGGCTCTTCCCGGGCCGGGCCCCTCGCCCGCCGGGATGAGTAGAGGGAACGGGAAGCTGAGAGGGGGACGCGCCTTTCGGGGGCGCCCACCCGCCCGCCCGCCCGCCTGCCGCACCCACCTGCAGTGCACCAGCAGGGGCACGTTCTTGTGGTGTCTGTGCCCGTCGGCCGGGCCCCTCGTGAGCAGCTTCTGCTTCAGGGCCTGGATCATGGACACCAGCTCCTTGGGCTCTGCCGGCAGCTCGGCTGGCCTCCAGTGCCGGAACTGGTACTGGTACACGGTCTGCGGCTCTTTCCGCTGCAACGGGGGGGACACGGGCTCGGGTGAGGGCCAGCCCAGCAGACCCCCAGGTGGGTAGCCACATTTTCTCCACAGGTTCTGGGGCTTAAATCATTCAAACATTTCATTCTGCAGGTATGGCTCTGTAGCCATACCACTCTATACACTCAAAACACTCTACAGGCAGTGGCTTTGCTTTCGTGGACTAATCTATGTCGGCTTTTACGCCGGAGTGCTTACGCCCAAGAGACACGCCCCGGAGGCTGTCCTGGTCGGTACCTTGGAGTGTCTCAGCTCGAAGATGCGGAGGGTGTACGCGGAAGACTGGGCGGTGTCTTTCAGGTGGACCTCCACGTCTCCGTGCGTCTGCTTGCCTTCTCCCCAGTACTGGGCACAGGCCTCCTGGACGAGAGAGCACAGGACGCGGCGTGTCCACGCGAGCATTCGCTGCCCCGCCCCCTCTGCCCTATCATCGCATGGAGATTGCCAACTGCGCTCCAGAACTGCGGGCTGCCCGTGAGACTCTGACATCTGTTTCAAGTCTGAGGATATTCATTTGATACATCGGGTGTTTCCTCGTGAGGATCGAGGGAACCTGGGAATGACCAAGGGGACCAGGACACCCTGGGAGCAGCCCTGTCACCTCTGTGGAGGGACTTTGAGACTCCTTCCTCCCGCCCACACCCTGCTGCCACCTCTCCGCAGTTCACAGACTGAGCCGCCGGGGGCCGTGGCCCTGCGACAGCTTCGGCCTCACTGCCCCTCCCGCGGCCCCTGAGGGAAGTCCTGTATCTTTGCAGCTCTGTCCCTGCAGCTGGGGGACCGGCCCCACTGGTGGCTCCGCAGAAGCCGGCTGAGCATCTGTCTAAAGGACCGGCCTGGAGAGCAGGTGAGTCCCAAGGGTGTGTCCTGCCTGCAGACGGGCCTCCACCAACTACTGCCCGCAGCGGCTGCGCACGCCAGGCATTCCTGCCCGCACCCCGTTCTGTCCCCCAGCCTTGCCCACTGAGATGGAGGAGGAGATGGCTGCAAATATAAACATGCATGTCTTTTTGAAAAAAAAGGAAAAAAAATCAAGGTAAAAAAATAACTTTGTATGTCCAGGGTAGGGGACCAGGAAAAAAAAAAAAAAGAGAAAGAGGAGGCATATGATAGAATCACATGCTCTGTGCAAACAGGCGGGGCAATTTTGGTGACTCGGGAGGAGGGAGACAGTCCAGGGCGCATCGTGGGCATTGGGCAGAAGATCAAGTCAGATCTTAGATTCACCGCCAACTGTGGAAGTTTATGCCAGTAAGTCCACCAATGGGGACACCAGGAAGGCAGAGTAAGGCCACGCTGGGGAGAGAGGGGCCGGGAGGAGACTGGGGTGTCGGTCGGTCTGGACGGGGGGTGCAGGTGCACGTGGGGTGTTGGGGTTCTGTCGGCCAGCCTGCTCGTCTGGAGTGGGGAGTGGAGCGGAGTGGGGAGCACAGAAAATGAGAACACGGCAGGAAAGTGGAGAGCTAGATGCAGGCCGGATCACAGAGCGTCTTAAATGGTAGACTGAAGAGTGTGGTTTTTGCGTTGAAGGAAACAAGGAGGATGGGGCTGCTGCTTGTCAGTTCAGCGGGGCGACCCTGGCTGGCCCGCCTCAGATGCTCTGGGGGCGGCCGGCGGGACTGGGGTCTCCGCACACAGACGCGATGCTGGGAGCCACCTCATGGATGGCGGAGGGTCCCAACCAACACGTGAAACTGTACGGTGGGGGCGGGGGGGGGGGCACCGGGACTTGGGTGCAGCAACCAAGTGCGTCACCCACAGGTGGAGAGCGGTATTTTACGACAGACAGGTGAAAATAAAAGAGTGTCCAACGTGCCCACCTGGCCTCCGTTGTCCAGGTCTGTCAGCATCACGATAACCTTGACTTTCCTCTGGAGGACCATCTGCCAGAAGTCCCCGGTGGTCTCCTTCAGCGGCCCCTGGGCGGCAATCATCACCTCCGGCTTCCAGTAGCTCTTCAGAGACAAAAAGTGGCTCTCGTCACCACCGCCACCCGGGCAGAGCGGCGGGTGCTGACAGCACCATCTGGGAATGCGGCCGCTTAATGGCGGTGTGTTCCCACAAAAACACGGGGACTCTGAGGCCTGAGAAACAAGGGGGTATCTGTACAGAACATCCTTGTCTAGTTGGTGGGGATGCTTGGCCAGTGCTGGAAAGTCTCGTTGAAAACATGTCTTCCAAAACTACCAAGTTATCCCTTCCAAAAACGTCTTATTTTGTAGAAAGGTGAATAGGATTGAAAAAGGCAACTGCATTCGCCTTTCAAATTGTCCTCATCATGCTTCTACTTTGTTGCTGTCTATACATTCTTATGACAGCTCATCATTACATTAATGTTTTGTGAATGTGTGTTTTGGGAAAATCTGCAAAGGAAATAAGGCCATGCTAGTGTATACCTACCATGTATGTGAAAATGTTTGTTGAGTGACTAAAGGTTTCTCGTTTGAACTTTCAGTCTATCGAAAAACAAGGGCATGTGGCACAGGCTCACCCGATAGCTCAGATCATCTGAATTAAAAGTTTGTAAATGCACAAACACTCAAATCTGGATTCACTCACAACTTGGATATGTGAGTAAATAGAAACATTTTCAAACACCTGTATTTTGCTCAAATGTTATTTTTTCAAATTAATATGATTATAGTTGTCTGCGTCCTAAACAGCAACTAATAGCATTGTCTTATTTTGCATCAACCTGGTGGATTTCATTTAAATACCTTTGTCTTTCAGTTAGTTAAAGTATAGCATTCAAAACTGAAACCTATATCATTTTACTAACCAACGTCACCCCAATAAATTCAATAAAAAGAATTAACTTTAAAGAAGAAAAAAGAACCGAAACTTCCAAGTCTGTCAGCACGCGGTCACGGCCACGCTCCTCATTCTGCTGTAAAATCACTGGAGCGCGGCCCCGGCGGCCCCGGGGGCAGTTTGCCAGCTGGGCCCGGGCTCTGGGGGCGGGGATGGGGACAGGGATGGGGACGGGGACGCGCACGCACCGTCACGAAGGAGGCGTTTATGTATCCGCTGTTCTCGTCGGTGTCGCTGTCGTCGTCCGAGGACTCGTCGGACTCCTGCTCGCTCTCCTTGCTGAAGTCCAGCTCGTGCCTGAGCTGCACTCGGTTGAAGTCATCTGCACGGAGCGAGTGAAGCAGCAGTGAGCGCCCCTCCAGCGCGCACCGCCCCTCCAGCGCGCACCGCCCCTCCAGCGCGCACCGCCCCTCCAGCGCGCACCGCCCCTCCAGCGCGCACCGCCCCTCCAGCGCGCACCGCCCCTCCAGCGCGCACCGCCCCTCCAGCGCGCACCGCCCGGCCCCGTTGCCACGTGGCAACCAGGGAGCGCCCTGGAGGTGACGTCACGTCACTGCATTGATTGACAGGGCAGGAGTCCCGGGCAGCTCTGCGCTTGCAGGTGAGCCGGTCGCCCCAGAGAAGGCTCAGAAGGAGGAGGGCCCGGGAGCGGTCCGGAAGCGCGCGTGGGACATGCTTTAAAGTATTAAACGACAAAGAGGTGTCGTAACTCTCCATGAGAGTATCCGGTCTTTGATGCCTATGCGTTAGCGTTCCCGGGAATATTAGCATTCTGCTCCATATAAACTAAAAAATACGTGTATGTTAATAACATACATCGCTGAGGTAAGAACTTATTTTCCTATTGCATTCTATTAACGTTTAAGTAACATCTTAATGAAACCAGTATCTCCAAGGAATTATTAATAAAAACATGTAGTCCACAATTCTTCAGTACCTCAATTTGTAAAATGTAATGGCCTGATCGAATGAGCTCATTCGCTACATGACTGTCGATTTCATATTTTAAACTGCCGTGGAGAGTATTTCGTAAAGGATTCTCCAGAAATGAGCTAGGTCAGCGTGCACTGACCCGATTTATCTGGCTGTCTAGTCTGTTAGCCGGGGTTTGTGCAGGAGAACTTTAGTGTGCCCATCGGGATGCAAGGACAGCTATCCTGGGTGTGGGTCTGTGACTCGCTCACACGGTGGGCAGAGTTTGAGTCCTGAACGCTGCGTGTGCTCTGGTCCGTGGAACGGAACGGTGGGCAGGCCGCAGAGACCTTGCCGCCCGCTTTCACCCCCCTGAGATGAGGAGGGGGAGGGAAGCCTGAAAGGGAATGGAAGTGTGTGGCCCCTGCTGTGCGTCTACGGCCTGGCCCGGAGAGAAGACTGGGACCGGGGGAGGCCGGGACGGACTCGCGGAGAGGACCGGGCCTCCTTCTCCCCCGGCGCCGGAGGGGCCCCTCTCCCACGGCCCTGTCCTGAAATGAGTGGTAGGAAGAAAACACGGAGGACAGTCTGTCCTCCCACGTCCTCCGTAGTGTCTGGGTCAAAGCATTGGCTTTAACCTGGTTCTAAATAGTCCACCGACGGCTCCCTACACCAACCCAACGCCGGAAACTGGCTTCCAGATCGCCTGTGTCTTCCGTGAAACAAATCCACAAGAGCCCGAGGTGATCGGACACAACAAAAATAAGATAAAATGAACCACCTACATGGAATGACGGAAGAGATCCTGTTTTTGCTCTTGTTCTCCTCCTGTTTTCCAGTGTGCTGCGTCCTCCAGCCGCGGTACGTGGGGAGTCTCTGGGGGGAGAACAAGGAGAATGGGGGACACCTTCACACATGCGTGTACTGGCTCCAAGCTTTGCTGGGGGGGCCCTCCAGAAATGTTGTTTTTCGTCAAGTTTTAGGAAATGTACATACATTCCCCGTCGTTCACAATTTTGAAGTTTGACTCTGAATTGTCTCGTTTAGTTGCTCCAGCATTTAGTACTTTTGACACGGTAAGTGTGAACTAAATACACACGATTATAAGACAGAACCGCACGTCCTCCCTGTGCTGAATGGGGTTGACTTGTCAACTGAAAGAGCAAGAAGCCCCCAGGGAGACCCCCGAGGACAAGGCCGCCCTGCCCTCCCCTCCCCTGCAGGGCAGGTCCACGGGGTTGCGTGGCCCGTGATCAGAGCACCCCTGACCCTGGGCCCCCCTCGGAGCCACAGCCTTCAACGATCCCGCATCTGATTAAATGCATGTTCCTGGTGGGTGAACCTCTCTGAATGGACCCACTGGGGAACCCAGAAGAGTTCGGGAAACTGGACGTCACAGGTGAAGGGGAAGTTACAAGACGTGTGTTTGGAGAAGTGGGCCATTCGGAGACGGCCGCGCCAGCCCTCTGGGATCTCAGGGAGCTGCGTCGTGCGGCGGCTTTCAGAGCAATCGCCCCGTGAATAGGCCGGGACACACGTCTTTCTCCCTGTTCCTGTCTTCAGCTCCAGCCAGCCCACTTCCGAAGGAGCCACAAAACCCTCTAAGGACTTCCTTTGCAAACCAGAACCAGGTGCGTTTTTAGGGCTGGACGCCACGCTGCCCTTGGCGGGCCGGCGTGGTGGCTCTCTGCCGTGACTGCTAACCTTCATCTCCAACCCGCTTAATGGGCAATGGTTAAAACTTTGGCCATAGAAGCAGACGTCTCCGTGTAAGCAAGCCTATGAAACAGCCGTGTGATCCCCACGGCCCCGGGAAACTGCACGCAGTGACCGGCGTCTGTAAGCGCTGCCGTCACCGCCGTCGCTGTGGTACCTGGAACTCGGCCTCCAGCGGAGAAGGCTCACTGGGCGGGTCCCGCTTCTTCAGGTTGGACAGGTACTGGTGCAGCTCGGCCAGGCTCACCTCCGTCTCCCCGAACTGGTTGTACTCCACCAAGGCCTGGTGGATCAGGATGTACTGCGCCTGCGGTTTCAGGGAAAACACGGGCGGTTAACCGAGAGCTTACAGTCGTGACAGTCACGTTTGAACAAAGTACTTAGTCCCGTCATTTTGCTCACATTGGGACGACGTACGGAAGAGAGTTATCTCTACTGGTTAAAGGTTCGGAGAGGTGGTTCTCATAGTTCTTAGGAATGTGAGCGAGTTTCACCTCCAACTTTCTTTCCAGAAAAAAAAAATAGCTTGCTAATTTTAAAAAATATAATTAAAAAATTAGATAATTAAAAAACTATGTGTCTGTTATGTCCTCCAGTGACTATGCTGAGGTCACCAAGTCAAATCACTAACAGAACACTAATAACTTTCACATCTTGGAGAGTAACAAGGAAGTTTATATTCCACGGAACACATTTTTAGAAGTTTTCTAAAACTTGGTAAAACAGAGAAATTTATTTTTTTAAAATGCAGTACGCCAAACTCAGAAACCCCAAACTTTATCGTATTTAAATCCAGCATTTTAAAATAGGAGACACATTTCTGATCAAGTTCAAGCCTCTGGTTCCCTGAGTTTGGCTGTACCATTCAATTCTGTATGTTTTTCCACAAGAAATAATTTCTTTTTCTCCTCTGGTGAACAAGCAGTTTTTATACTTCTACACCGATAGCTACGTGTCTGTAAGCATTGTGCATTTTTGTGTGTTTCCTCAAAAATTACACTGGTTGCATCCTCCTGTTTTACCGGGGACTTGATGCACTCTCTGTGTTCATCTGAGTCCTCACCACACGCGCGGTGACCTAGGTTACTCCTCGCAACGCCGGCGTGGCGGGTTCCCAGCGCGTCCACGTGGCCGCGTTTTGCGTGTCCATTTGTCAACCAACAGGCATCTCGGGTGTCTCCAGTGTCTTTGCTACCCTAACGCCGTGGAATGCAGTGGGCACCCCAGTGTGTGTTCCTTGCTGTGCACCTGGTAAGTGCTTCTCTTGGGGATCTCCAGTGCACGTGGGCTTGAGGGGCCAAGGGTGGACGTTGTCACTAAAAGCCACCACTTAACAATGACTGGCTCCCTGCATGTGCCGGGCACCTGTCTAAGTGCCCTACTCGGGTCACCTTTCGCCCTACCTCTGTCGGGTGAACCCCGCCACTACCCCCACGGCACAGATGCCTTCACTGAGGAGCGGATGCATGACAACTTTTAAAAGGAGGCGCAGGACTGGGAATCGGGCGCCAGGTCAGAACACTGGAGGCTGATTCCAGAGAGCAAGCTCTTCACCACGGTACCGCTCTGTGCCCTTAGTTTTCGCTTCACGAGATGCTGCCAAATGGATTTTCAGTATTTTTATCCTTTTCCTAATATGGTATGGGGAGGTGGTGTTACACTGGTAAAAATATATTTTTTCAGTCATCCTCCTTCTACCGTACGCTCAGCCACGAATGCATATGCTTCTAGGGTCGGAGCTTAGCGCATGCGTTAGCTGTCAGGAGTTAAAACGAAAACGATTTCCCCCCACTGGTTGAGACTGAGACGAGTCTGGGTTTCCTTGACGACCCCCGCTCCCACCCCCAGAAACCCAAGCCAGGGAGCCGAAGCGAGAGCGGCGAGCGCGAACGGACCTCCACTTGCACCATGAGGCACCGCTGCCGCCGCAGCTTGACCACGTAGCCGTACACGTCCACCTTGTTCTCGGCCTCCAGGCCCTCCAGCATGGCGTCGATGCCGATGTAGGTGCCGGTGCGCCCCACGCCCGCGCTGGGAATGGAAGCACGGCAGCAAGTCAGGTCATGGCCATGGTCACGGTCATGGTTATGGTCACGGCCATGGTCATGGTCATGGAGGGACCAGGTGTGGAAAAGCCAACACGGAGGGCGGGGGCAGAGCAGAGGAGAGAGGATGAGTTTCTCCGCGCAGACCGCCCCCAGTGCAGCCGCTGCCCGTGGGAGGCCCCGCCCTCCCCCTCCCCCGAGGGCCAGGGCCCGAGGCCGGCAGCTGCGCCCTCACCTGCAGTGCACCACAATGGGGCCGCTGAAGAAGTTGCTGAAGGCGTTCACCCTCCTCCGCAGCTTGAGCAGCAGGTGGGGGTCCTCGGGCACGCCGTGGTCTGGCCAGCTGGTGAACTGGATGTGAGTGACCTCCCTGCCCGCCGTCTTCTCTTTTTTCTAGTCAAGAGATCACATGACCTTTCCTTTTGGTCTGTTCTTTCTCCGAAACTGACTACCCGACACAAATAAGAGGAAGGGGCGACCCGCGCGAATAACTCCCCCTGCACGTTTTTTCGGCGGCGGCTACATCTTCTTCTCTGATGAACAGCGGTCACCACGGTGTCGTGCGTGACTGGCACGCACCGGCCAGTGGGCAGCGACTTACCAGGAAGCCAAGTGGGGTACGTGAGTGCCGCTGAGACCGCTAGGAACTTTCCTGCCACCACGCCAAACACACACACACACACACACACGCACATGCAGGGACACACAGGGACACGGGGCCGGGGGATGGGCATGACAAGAGACGGCCCTTCTCACGGCCGACGGAAATACTTCTGCCCGGCGGGCCAGCGCGCAGGACGCCTGTCCCGTGCAGGAAGCCTGGCAAACAGTGGGGTTCAACTCTGTTTCCGGGGCCCCCTCATCTTAGAAATGTCAACCGTGGGCAGAGAACTGGGGACAGTCGGCCCAGATTACAGCTCAGGTTGGTCCCTGTTCCAAGGATCCGCGAGGAGACGCGGAATTCGCGGTTCTCTGACCAGGTGGGAAGGGGACCACCTGCGTTCCCATAATGGACGGAACCACAGAACTTGGCTGGTTGCACTTTTCTCGCAGGAAGTAAGTGGACCAAGAATGGGGACGTCCGACTGGTCAAGGCAACCAGACTGGCATTGACCTCTACACGTCCCCCGTGTCTACGTGGGGCCCTACGCTGGGCCCTCATGACTTGTCCAGCCACGAGCCACTGGTGGGATTCTCCCACAGCTGTTGTGAGTGTGACGATTACTGAGACCACAGAAACCTGGGGAGACCCTGGGGTAAATACACAATTCATGTTTTTTTTTGTTTGTTTGTTTTTTGTTTTTAATTGCAGAAGATATATCTGGACCACAAGGAAATACCATTTAGATTACTGAAACCCCTTCTTCAATAAGTGACATTTAGAGAAAATTTCAACCTGGTCTGGAAAGACCTCTATTTTTAAGGTTGATTTAGATATTCTTCACATACCATAACTCATTCCTTTAAAGTGGAAACTTTTTAAATTATATTGATAGAGTTGTAAAATCATCACCGCTACCTAATGACAGGGTATTTCCCACTGTCCCCAACAACAACAAAAAAACCTCACTGCTTAGCTGTCATCCGAAAAGTCTGCTTGGACCCACCCCCTCGGTCCCAAGCAATCGCTGACCAGCTTTCTGTCTACAAATCTGCCTGCCCGGGACCTTCCGTAGTGGAAGCACACACATGTGCAGAGACCTCCACTTTTAATTACTCGGTAAGGACACACCGGTAGTTTTCCGAATTAAACATTGCATTTCTCCTGCACAGAACTTTGTGCTTTTTGCAGTAATCTCTAGTCGTGCCTTATGTACAGACATTCTCCCCATATTGGCAATAAGCCCACTGGGAACAGAGACCATTGTATCACTCGGAAAGTCAACCATCGATTTGGCACATTTCATGAGCCCTGCCTGGTCCCTCCTGAGTCAGCGCCATAAACAGCTCTGACGTGACTCGAACCAACCCTCCTTTCACCGGAGACTTATCTTGACCCTGCTGGCTCTTGATATTCTTCCCACCCGCCGTTTCCTCCTGCAGGCCATAAAAAACCACGTCTCCCAAGTACAGCCTGACTTCTCACCCTGCACCCCCATCACTGCGCTTCTGGGCAGAGAGCACGCACACTCAGGCGGGGCAGGGAGACACACTCACGTTGGTGATGCTGAACTTCTGGATGATGTAATCCGGGCAGGTTTTGTGCTCATTGATCCTCACCAGGACGTCGCCGTACTCCCGGGCACCGTCGCCCATGGACGGCCAGTACTCTGCACACTTGTTCTGTCGTTTAAAAAGCCACCAGTGATTCCAGCTTCCCGCTTAACCATACACGCTTCTCACGCATTCTTTACACGAAAATATTCGGATAGAAGCTAAGTCACGGACATTCTCCAAACACTCGTCTGTTCTTTCTTAAGTCCATGCACGCCTTAAGATAGGAGCCGGAGGCAGCTTCCATGTGCCAGACCAGGGCCCAAGGTCTAGCTTCCTGCTGCTTCTTGGTGGGGGGGGGGTTCTGCCTGGGTTGGCTGTCAATGAGGGGGGCACGCTCGGCGGCCAGCAAAATGATGCGGCGGCCGGCGGCTCCTTCTGTGCTGGGCTGTGGGGAGGCTTTCCTTCTGCCTAGAGTCACGTTGCAGGAGCGACCACCCCTCCGCCCGAGGTCAGGTCGGTTTCCAGTATTCACAAGCACTTGTGACATCGGCTCATAGGGACGTGCTGAGCCCGCCCTGACCCGTGTGGCTCAGCGAGTTGGGTGTCATCCTGCATAGCGAAACATCACCAGTTCGACTCCCAGTCCGGGCGCCGGCCTGGGCTGTGGGTTTGGTCCCCAGTCCGGTGGGGACAAGAAGCACTGGTCGACGTTTCTGACCAATGTTTCTGTCTTGCATCAGTGTTTCTCTCCCTCTCTTTCTCTGTCCTTTCCCCTCTCTCTATGAATATATAAATAAATTTTTTAAAAAGAGAAATGTGCTGAACTAACAACAGTACCGTAAAGACATAGGAATCAAATTTTTAAGTCCAGCAGGGATGTTTAACCTTCATTCACATGCGCATGTAGGTATACGTGTGGAGATTTTATTTCCGTGCATGCACGAAAAATGCCAGCCGCGTGTCATGCTGACTGGAACAGGGAGCCGTCTCTCCTGGTCGTCAAGCACACGTACCCCGCTTTCGGGAGTGCACCCCGGCACTGTCCTTCCCCAACCCCAGCTTCCGCTCTGGGAGTCTCCCAGGCCCTTACCCTGTTCCCTTCCTCGCAGCGGGTGACCATGACGATCACCGTGGCTTTCTGCTCCCAGATCATCCTCCAGAAATCGCCAACCGTCTCGTCCCGGGGACCTGGGAGGTGAAGCAGGGCCAACTCAGAAATCTCTCTTTTCTAAAAGGCTGTGAAATGAGGTTTCGAAAGGACCCTGAGCAGCCCGAGAGGTTACCTTGTGCGGCGATGTACTTCCTGGGTTCTTTGAAACCCTGTTCAAAACACACACAAAGGAACACGTCACTCACGGAACACGCGGGGACTCCTGTGCTGCCGTCGGGAGCGCAAGGCAGTCACCCCAGAGCCACTCCCTCTCGGCCGTGGGCTTCCCCGGGCATTTGCAATCACAGGTGGGGGGGGGATTGAGGGACACACAAGCAGGCATTTGACCGCGCTAAACAGGTCAGGTGGCGTTTCCAAACCATCCTCAGGGCTCCATGGGTCTTGGCTCTGCACCCGGAATGATTTGGGAAAGCCAGGCTTGCTTCCTGGCGGCGGCGGCATAGCAGTTCACAGGAGTGGACCTGCACCGCCTGCCACGACTCAGGCCTCCTGACCAGACGGGTCGTGCCTTTGGGGACTTTTACTCCATTTCTTTTAACAAGTCATCCTGGGCTCACAGGTCTACCTAGACTCCAATCCAGAGACGTGATGCAATGACGCTCCTCTCATCACCTGCAAAGGTCTGCTCTCCCCTCTCCTGCTACCGAGGGGGAAAGGGGTGCAGAGGCAGTCTTGATCCTGGGCTAATTCCTTCCAAATTACCTGAAATTCCTTCAGTCCCCCTCACTAGTCAGGGAGGCCCTTCAGAGAGATGAACTCTGACACAAGATGAAACCCACAAGATGGAGGCGTAGGTGGACACACTGCGCCTCCTCGCACGACCAAAAGAAGGACAACAACATGTTTAGAAACAAAAAGCAACCAGAACTACCAGAAAAGCGAGCTGTATGGAAGTCCGACAACCCAGGAGTTAAAGAAGCATTCATCCAGACCGGAAGGAGGGGCGGAGACGGACCACGGTGGCGGTTGGAGGACCGGGATGCGCGAGGTGGCGGCTGGTGGACCAGGCGAGGTGGCGGCCGGCAGAGCGGGTGACCCCACACTCACGTGCAGACAAGCTGAGAGGAACAACTGGGGAGTGGACAGACCTCACAACCCGGGGGAAATAAAGCCTCAAACCACCGACTGAAAACACCTGTGGGGGTTGCAGCGGCAGCAGGAGGAACTCCCAGCCTCCCAGGAGAATTCATTGAAGAGACCCACAGGGTCCTAGAACATACACAAGCCCACCCACCCGGGAATCAGCACCAGAAGGGCCCAGTTTGCTTGGGGGAAGTGGGGGAAGTGTCTGAAATCTGGCAGAGAGCAGAGCAAGCAGCACTGTTCCCTCTCGGACCCCTTCCCCACAGATGACGTCACAACACAGCGACATGGGTGCCCCGCCCTGGTCAACACCTAAGGCTCCGCCCCTTACTACGTAACAGGTGCGCCAAGCCAAAAAAAAGTACGGCCCAAATGAAAGAACAAATCAAAGCTCTGGAAAAAATACAACTACTTGATGAACAGCTAGCCAACCTATCAGATGCACAGTTCAAAACACTAGTAATCAGGATGCTCACAGAAATGGTTGAGTATGGTTGCAAGATAGAGGAAAAATGAAGGCTATGAAAAGTGAAATAAAGGAAAAGGTACAGGGAACCAACAGTGATGGGAAGGAAACTGGGACTCAAATCAACGGTTTGGACCAGAAGGAAGAAAGAAACATCCAACCACAACAGAATGAAGAAACAAGAATTCAAAACAAAACAAAACAAAATAAACAAACAAATGAGGAGAGGCTTAGGAACCTATGGAACAACTTTAAGCATTCCAATATCTGAGTCATAGGGGTGCCGGAAGGAGAAGAGGAAGAGCAAGAAATTGAAAACTTATTTTATGATGAAGGAGAACTTCCCCGATCTGGCAAAGGAAATAGACTTGCAGGAAGTCCAGGAAGTTCAGAGAGTCCCAAAGAAATTGGACCCAAGGAAGCACACACCAAGGCACATCATACTTACATTTGCCAAGATGGAAGAGAAGGAGAGAATCTTAAAAGCAGCAAGAGATAAGGAGATAGTTACCTACAAAGGAGTTCCCATAAGACTATCGGCCGATTTCTCAAAAGAAACCTTGCAGGCAAGAAGGTACTGGAAAGAAGTATTCCAAGTCATGAAAGGCAAGGATCTACATCCAAGATGACTCTATCCAGCAAAGCTATCATTTAGAATGGAAAAGCAGATAAAGTGCTTCCCAGATAAGGTCAAATTAAAGGAGTTCATCATTCCCAAACCCTTATTATATGAGATGTTAAAGGGACTTACCTAAGAAAAAGAAGAAGATAAAAAATATGAACAGTAAAATGACAACAAACTCACAACTATCAACAACCAAACCTAAAAAAAACAAAAACAAACTAAGCAAACAACTAGAACAGGAACAGAACCACAGAAATGGAGATCACCTGGAGGGTTCTCACTGGGGGAGTGGGAGAGAGAGAGAGGGGGAGAAGGTACAGGGAGTAAGCGGCATAATTGGTAGGAAGAAAATAGACAGGGAGAGGGTAAGAATAGTATAGGAAATGGAGAAGCCAAAGAACTTATATGCACGACCCACGGACATGAACTATGGGGGCGGGGAATGCCGGAGGGAGAGGGGGTTACAGGGTGGAGGGGAATAAAGGGGGGAAATGGGACAACTGTAATAGCATAACCAATAAAATATATTAAAAAAAAGAAAGAAAAAGGACGACACCCAGTCACACAGGCCACAAAAATGTCACGATCAATCTCAGTCACTTCCTGAACTTCGCCTGACACAGCGCAATTCCGACATTCACTCATTCACCAGGCGGCTACTGGGGGGCTGCGGCGTGCCAGCGTGCAAAACCGGGCAGGGGCACGCGGCTCTGCTGCAGAAACGTAAGTGTGAGCAATAGCACAACCACCGCATATATATTTGAATAGAAAATAGAGCGTTTTTTTTCCCCCAGAGACTAAATTCTTGTGAAAATAAAAAGTCACAGGGAGCATAATTCCGCTGACACCTTTGTTTTGGACCTCTGGCTGCCGGAGCCGGGAAAGAAGACATTTCTGTTGTTTTTAGCTGCCTGCGTCATGCCTGTGCGGCTTGCCCTGGGAAACCAGTGCACTGCTGGAGTTACCAAATACGTCCTCGTCATTTGACCGTTTCATCTGCTCCACTAAAAGTTTGTATAGTCAAGGAGGTCAAAACAAACAAACAGAAAAAAAAAGCCCTAATTTGAATTCCTTTTTCTTTAAGAAAAGTGACTCTTCATAATGATATTATGTACAGGGTCCGGCACAAATAATGTTCCCTTTTATTACCAAATCTTTTATTAGAAAACCATAAGTATGATATTCTACAACATAACAATATCACACTCAAGCACACCACGTGGCATTTTAGGTGAAAGGTTTAAATTAAAACCATAAATGATTACACCCACGTCATACCCTACCAACCGCACTCAAGCAGGTGTTACTTCTGCCGGACCCTGTATATTCAGCGTTGGAGGTTTTAGGTATGTTACACTCCAGAAAGGCGTGAATGTTATGTTAACATTTTTGGGTAAAGCAGGGAAGGATGAATCTGAGAGTTTTCATGTCCACGGAGAAAGGAACTCGGGCTGGGTGGGTACGAGACCGGCTGGTGGAGGAAGGCGCGGGCGGAATGGTGGGTGGGTGGGTGGAAGAAACATTCTTTCCAGTGTCTCTATAAATGAATTCTGCGTAAACATGTGCGGGGCGTGTAATGTATTGCTCCTCTAACAGATATGCGGTAAGCCCCCTTTTTAGCTACTTGGGTGAATCCCCACGCACGGGGCTTGTGTTTGAACGGCTGGAGTGAGCGGGCGGTGTGGGTCCGGAGGGCGTCCAGGACCCCCGGTGCCAGGTCCTGGATGCGCCGTGGGGTGGGGCCAGGCAGCGGGGGGCCCCAGTCCCAGCTCAGGCCTTTCCCCCTCGAACCAGGACGGGAAGACTGAACACCCAGCGCGCCCCCCCACCCCCCGCCCTGCCCACCCGTACAATGACAGAGCACACAGGTGGCGCCGACGTGCGCTCCGGTGAGAAGCCCCTGCCTAGGCCATCCAGTCTAACACCCCAGGCCCCCGGAGTGTTTTGCTTCTTAGTGTCACTTTGTTTGCAGAGAAAAATCTTGTGCCACGCGCAGCACCGACAGCAAGTAATAAGAAACTCTTCTCGCAAATATTAGTGATTTTGCTGTTGGGAGCAGAGGCATCACGGGCGTACTTCCCACCGTCCCTAGCGACATCTCTAAGGCCTTGCCACGACCAGGAGGGGCGGAGTGCCAGTGCCGGAGCTGTGCGGCGGCCCCGCCGCGGGCACCCTACTCACGTCGATGTAGCTGGCGTTGATGTAGTTGGACCCCAGGTCTCCGTTTACTTCCGACAGCTCCACGCGGTTGTAGTCATCTGTGCGCGGGAAGGGAAGGACAGTGAGTGCGACCGCGGACCCCCACGCAGCCTGCCCACGCGGAGACCCCGCTCTCGGGGGGTGGGGGAGGGGCTTACAGGGAAGGATGTCCACGTAGCGGTTCTTGTTCTGGTTACAGGACTTCCGGGCCTCCTTGATAGGGAACTTGCTGAACACCCGAGGGATGCTCTGGAAGACACAAGGACACCCGGGGTCACAGCGGGCTCCGGGGAGCAGCGTCAGCCTCACCGGCGGCGGTGGGGACGGGCAGGCTGTAACCTGCCTCTTTGATGCTGACAGACAAGTTGCGTGCGGCCACTGAAATGAACGTGGAGGAATGAGGCAAAACACACTAAAAAAAAGAGAATAAATTCCGCACTTGGAGAATAAATCCTCCGGGACAGGGAATGTAGTGTGCATTGTTCTGTCACTTCGAAAGTCATTCAGAAACACCGTTCTATTGCAACCACCACCTATGGTGTCGGATGGGTGCTAGATTGATCGGGGTGATCGCTGGGTAAGTTCCACAACTGTCTGATCAAGGCGCCGGACGCCTAAAAATAATACATGATTGTACATCGACTGCACTTTAAGTATAAAAGAGGAAGAACAAACAAACAAAAACGCATAGACACGGACAGCAGTGTGGTAGTTACCAGAAGGGAGGGGGTGGGGAGCAGTTAAGGGTGAAGAGGTCAAATATCTGGTGATGGAAGGAGACTTGATCTTGGGCGGTCAACACAGTGCAATCTACAGATGATGTAACATAGGACTGTCCCCTCGAAACCCATGTAATCTCACGAACCAGTGTCACCCCAATACATTTCATAAATATATATATATATAAAACCCAAAGACTAAAAACAAAACGCAGAGTTGGATGATGACTGAGACTCCCAGGACAAAACCAGCCAAGCAGGTTTTGTGACGCGACCTCGTAACGCGTCTGAGCACAGTGAAACATCACTGTGGAACACCGACCCGCGTCCTGCGGGTCTCTCCTCTGGTCTGTCCGTTTCTGCTACGGCGATCTGCTTGGACGACGTCGCGATATTGCGTGTGATGTATTATAAAGGCAAGTTTCCGGTGGGTATCTGGATCGTTGAGTGACCTTCCCCCTTGCGTACCGAGAAGAGCACCCACCTGGAACTCAGCCAGGAAAAGTCTTCCTTCATCCGCGATCTTTCTCTTGTACGTTTCCAGCAAAACGTCGGCGTGGATGGGGTCCACGTTCATCAGCTGTTTCTCATCATCTTTAAGCAGATTAAAGAGTCAAGGCCAGTGTTACACCTGTCTTTCAGAGGTTCACTCTCCTGTCACTACATTTACACCTTGGGTTTACTCCTCGCCGATCAAATAAGTACATTTAAGCTTTGTCTCAGTATCAACAGAGGCAGTCCAAGTTAGATAAAAAGTGTGGAATTCTTGTTTTAAATGAATGGGTTCAACTGGGGGGGGTGGCGTAATTCATCGGTTAAAAAATAGGCATACTTACCCCTTTCAACGAGTTCCTGTTGTTCATCTAAATTGCTGTGAAAATAAGAAATGTAAGTTTCTAGTCTTAAACATGGAATTCAGTTGGCATTTAACTCATAGTTGATAAGTATATTATAGGAAGGAGGAGATGGAGGCAGGGAGGTTAATGAGAGGAGAGGAGAGAACAGGAGGGAAGGGGAGTGGAGGGGAAGGGGAAGTAGGGGGGAGGGGAAGTGGGGGGAAAAGGAAGTGAAGGGGAAGGGGAGTGGAGGGGAAGGAGAAGTGGGGGGAGGGGGAGGGGAGGGGGAGGGGAGCGGAGGGGGCATGGAGGAAGGAAGAAAGAAGAACGGGGGAGATGACGGAGGAGGAGGCCAGTAAAGTGTAAAGGAAAAGTGAGCGAGGAAGAAAACCTAGGGCTGTCTGTTAGTCTCAGACAAGTGACTAAATTATTTTATTTTAAAACTCCTGTTTTTTTTTTTTCCCCTCCCTGGCTGGCGTAGCTCAGTGGATTGAGCGCAGGCTGCGAACCAAAGCATCGCAGGTTCGATTCCCAGTCAGGGCACATGCCTGGGTTGCAGGCCACGGCCCCCAGCAACCGCACGTTGATGTCTCTATCTCTCTCTCTTTCTCCCTCCCTTCCCTCCCTAAACATAAATAAAATCTAAAAAAAATTTAAAAAAAGAAATTCAAGAAAATAAAAAAACCACAAAACTCCTGTTTTTCATGAAGCATAACTGTCCCTGGACAAGAGACTACATACACTCCCCTACGTAGTTTCTCCTTCCCTTTGCCATCGTCACTCCGGGAGCCCTCTGACCCACTCTGCAGGGCAGACGCACGCCCTCGTCACTGGCTGTTACTGCGAGAAGCCCCTACCGTGATCCGTGAATGTAGAAGATGCTGATATTTAACGTAACCCGATAAGGCCACGCTGAAAACCTTTGACCCACGGTTCCATGATGGCCTAGACTCCGTGTGGCCTTGGCCTCCCCGCCCCTGTCCTGGTTCCGCCCCCGCCTCACGGGTCGGTGCCCTCATTGCTACCACTGTCATCGTTACCGTTGTGTTTCTTTGGAAGTCAGCGCTTACCTGGATCTCTTCTTGTGCAGGTCATAGATTTTGTAGAGGACAATGAGCAGGGCCACTGTGGTCACGAGAATCAGGAACACCAGGAACCCGATCAGTGCTTTAGAATTATCTAGAAATGAAAATAGCACAGGAACAGAGATGATGATGTCCTAGGCTTAGCTGGGTCTTTGGAATAATCGGTCACCTTGAAAGTCTGTAACACATCGAGATTTCCACTTATTTTGCAGTTTTCAAAAAAAAACCCAACAACATACGCGGCAGAGGGGGAGGCGGGGCGAGAACCCCGGAGCAGAGACAGGCCCCGCATGCCCAGGTGACAGCAGGACTGCTGGCGGGACTGGGACCCGGGGAGCGCAAGGGTCGGTTTGGGGGTCCTGGAGAACATTGTGAGGGCCACACTGTTTTGAGCCGAAGGTGCAGCCCCCGTAGGATGTGGAGCCGAGGAGAGAGAGACTCTGACTCGTGCATCGTGCAGACATCGGTGAGTGCTCGTCGTGAGTCCCACGGTCCAGGCAGACTCTGGCGGGTCCAGCCCAGACCCGGAGCTCTGCCATCGGGGGAGGCAGCCCCACGCCACGGCCGCCGTCCGGACCTGGTGGGCCGAGTGTGCAGCAGGCTGTGGGGGGGGGGGGGAAGGGGAGGAACTCGGAGTGCATTTGAGAACACGAGGAAAGGATCAGACGTCGGAGGGAAGGGGCCGAGGAGGAAGTCAGAAAGGCCACTTGGGAACGAATGCTCTTGCCAGAAATCTTCTGAGAACACGTCTGGCACCGGACATAAATTTGAGTCTTGGACCAAGAGTGGCTACGTAATATATAAGCCCGAAGAACTCATCAGATGGAGAGGAAGGGAATCCCAAGACTGTGGCGCCCCGAGACTCGGCCATGTCACACAGCTGGAGGGAAGGAGGGAACCAGCCAAGGACGCTAACACGGACAGCGCGTGCCCGGGGAAACCAGCTCCAAAGGAAGAATTTCTAGGAGGAACCAATAGTCAGTGATGACCAAGGTGCCGATGGGTCAAGGTCGATGAGCCCCGGGAACTGCCCCTGTGTTTCACTGGAAGGGAGGGCCTTGTGGAGCTGGACCGGAGCCGTTTTCGTGGGGTCCTTGGGCCCGAGCGCAAACAGACAAGGAAGAACCAGAGAGCGCCGAATTCTGGACCGCGTTCAAGGGCGCTCCTGCTGGCTCCGCGGGCCGGGAAGCACACCCGTGACTCGTCCTGCTCGGTCTATGGCCCCCAAGTGTGGGCACCGCCGCTACAAATTGTTTACGTGATTGGAAGAACTCGAGGGCACTCTTTTTATCGTAAGGGCTTATACAATATTTACATGAGCGTACGGTCAAAGGTGTGTGGCTGAATTCGGCATCTAACACGGGGAGCTTTTCTGTTCTGCGTCTGGGCCACCGTAGCCAAATTTCTGCGTGAGACCCAGTGCAGCAGTCGGCAAAGATAAGCTGCTTTTGTATCTTCCCTCTTGGGCGAACGAGGCATCTGTGACGGCTGTGAGCACGTGTGAGACAGGGAAGGGAGTGGCCGGGAGAGGGACAGACGGAGAGCTCTCCGTAGTCTGATTTTATTCGCCACGCCGCCAGGGTGGGAGCTCTACGAACAGAGACCTGAGAGTCTCCTGCCCCCACCAGCTCAGCCCAGCTGGCCACGCCCACAGCCCCAGCATCCCCGAGGGTGGAGGGCAGAGCGAAGGAAACCGGGGAACGCGTGGTGGGCTGTGAGGCTGTTCTGCAGGGGGTGGGGGTGGGGCACCGTTATTCTCATGATGATGACGACGGCATTTGATGTGATTTTTTTCCCTGCATGCACACTTATTTTGCTTGAAATACTTTTAATGTTATTGGCACAAAATTAAGTAGCAGTCTTATTACGAGGCGATACTGATCCTCGTCTAGTTAGGCAACCCAGGGGCAGAGGAGTGTCCAGCACCTGCTTCTGCCCCGGGGACTGGTGAGGGACCGAACGGGGTAGAATAGGTCACAGTCTCCAAACTACAGGGAACAAACCCTCTTTGTGACGAACATGACCAAGGTCACAGACGCAATCATCATTTAATAGTCAATCCTCTCAGGACTAATTTCATGAAACTGACAATCTTTCAATCATTGAATTTCCTGGTTTGCATTTAAGATGCTGTATTTTAATATGATGCTCATCTACACTTTTTTCCAGATAACGTAGACTTTTAGGTTTATAAAATGTGTGTCATTTAAACCTTTAACGATTGGACGTGGCGTGAACATAAAATACTCAAGCTGTGTGTGTGTGTTCACATATTTTTAAAAACGAACTTAGTAAACAGCGAAGCAATCACTTACATGATGTTGATGCAGTAACAGAGTCTGAGGGTCCTTGAAATTCCCCGTTGTACAAAAAGACCTGTTTCAGCGACAAAAGGGAAGCTCGTTTTCTCGCGTGAATTTACGTGCTATAATGTAACATACACATTTCCCATTCAACCACTTCATTGTCATCAAAAATATGCTGTCAACCTTCGATTTCAAGTGGAAACTTGAAGGCCCTGTCAGTATGTTTTACCGGTTATTGTCTAGAAGAAAATGCTCAACAGTGAAAAACAGATGGAGAAATCTTTGCCCATTCAGCAATGATGTTCTATCAAGAAGAATAAAGAGTCGGAAGGAATAAAATCCAGCACTTCAAAACATTCATTATTTAACGTTAAATTCCCTATTAATAGGCTAATTAATGTTCACACACTTTATTTTCAGAGTGAACATCTACCATTGAGTGTTAACGAGAGTGACGCATGAAAGGCGCGTGAAAGTCCTCCAGTGGTGCACGGTAAGGTGCCAGTCGCCATGTTGCTCTCCGTGGGAGAGTGAGGCTGCCGGAATGGCAGCGGCTAGGTCCCATGCTCTCAGTGACCCGGGGCAAAATCTGCGGTGGGGACGCCACCAGCTTCGGTGCCGCATCTCGTGAGATCGGACACGAGCGCGGCAAACCCGTGTAGGTGTGCGGGGAAACTGACAAGAGGGAGAAAGTGGTCAGAGTGGCAACCCCCCCCCCCCGCAAAAAAAATCCCAAAAACCAAAACAAAAACCACCACCCAAATTGAAGGAAAAATAAATTTAGTGAAAAAAGTTAAGTGAATCATGTCTTTAAAGAGATTGATGACAAATAAAAAAATTTTGCAGACGTATTGATCTGGAAAATATATATCTAAGCATTTACCCTATGGAGGATTGTCATTTCTCCAGGAGCCACAGAATATTCAGGTACATGTATCATATAAAGAACTGTAAAAAACACTTTAGAAATTCCAAAAGGCAGCAGTTGTAAAAAAAAAATCAAGCACCAGAAATATAGAAACACTGTCTTTAAAAGACAGGTATGTTAAAACTCTTTCAAATTGCAATTCTAAACTCTTTAGAAATTATCAGTAAGAGCACTTCAATAATCTACTCATCGTATAATTGTGCCAGTCATTGAGAAATTAGCGATAAGTCATATAGACATGGGATACAGTCAAAATTTTATAAAAGCATTAACTTTAGTTAATTAACAAAAGAGAAATACATGGCTGAAAAACTACCAGAAGAACATAAAAACAAACCTACGGAAAAGGAAAGTAATGAAGTCACAGCACTAAAAACACTTTCCTAGTTCACGAGCCAGCGGTTGTAATGGTGAAAAAAGCCAAAAGGACAGCCCCCCATGAAGGTGTGAGTGGGGGGGCGGAGACTGAAGTGGACATAAAACATAAAACCATGGGCGGCGTCTGCTGTGAAGAACAAAAGTCTTGGAGAGAGTCTTGGAGACAAAAGTCTTGGAGAATAATTATCTCCACATTTGAATTTTAGGACTGCATTCTAATAGGATGTTTACCTATAATTTTTCAGAATAACTTAACCTTATTCAACAGACGGGAAAGGAAAATTCTGGAGAGAGAGAAGAACATTACATGTTGATGATATCATATATTAATCATCTGTGATAGGTTGATCATCTAAAGGCAATATACTGGTATATTACTGAAGGTCAAAAATATTCTGACAGGCCTGGCTGCTGTAGCTCAGTGGACTGAGCGCCAGCCTGTGAACCAAAGGGTCACCAGTTCGATTCCCAGTCAGGGCACATGCCTGGGTTGCGGGCCAGGTCCCCAGTGGGCAATCACACATTGATGCTTCTCTCCTTCTCTTTCCCCTTCCCTTCTCCTCTCTCTAAAAATAAATTTTAAAAATCTTCAAAAAAAAAAAAAGAAATTTACCTTTAAAAAATATTCTGGCAAAATATTTGCTTTAAAGTCCTGTTTTTACTGCAGTGGGGAAAAGGTTGCAGTCCAACTTTTAAGACTTTTACAGGACTCCAGTGAGCACAGAAATTATCATCTCACCTCAAAGGTGTATTGTGTTGAGTAGCTAAGATCGTCCACGGAGAATGAGCAGACATCCTTCTGAGAAGACGATGTAGCCTCAGCACCCTGTGCGGTCTTGACCAACAGCTTGTAGATTGTGTCGGGGCCGTTGATGTGGTTGGGTCTGCTACAAGTCACCTGCATACTGTTATCTGCCTTCGGCTTGGCCTTCAGGTCCTGGACCTTGCCTGGGCCTGCCGAAAGGAAGCAGGGTCGGTCAGTCACGTGATAAACGTGATCTGTGCCTGCGGGACGCTGTGTGTTTACAACACACACGCTCTTAGGTGTTCGTTAGCGGGTGCGGAGGAGAAAGTTCCAGCAGGACCTTCCGTGAGAAAACTGGAACAAAATGTCGAGGACTAAACCCCCTCTTTGTTCAGGGACCATTGGCCCCTGAGTTGCACTGGGAGCCTCCAGCGCGCCGCCCGCCAGGAAGAAGCGCAGAACAGCAGGACCGAGGGGGCGGGCATGGGGGGGGTGCGGGGCGCCCAGCGCGCTGCCCCCGGCCTTGTCTCCCGGACCCTCGGCAGCCGCCGCAGCTCCGCCCCGTGTGGCGGGACGCCAAGGGGGATCCAGCAGCGGGACGGAAGCCCCACGCCTGCGGCCCTGGGCGTTCTCAACCCAAACCTCAAGGCCATTAAGGACATTTTAGGTCCGGCCTCGAGTAGGACGAGCTGTCTTCACACCAGCGAGGGCCTCCGAGGCGCCCCTGCGGGCTTGCCCATGGCGCCGCCTGTCGCCGGGCCTCCTGGGCCTGACGTGCCCCTGCGAGCAGGTCGGGCCTGGGGCCTGGAAATGCCGGAGACGCCGGGCAGGTGGGGGAGAGCCCCAGGTGGGCGGGGCGACGCAAAGGCAGGAAAATGCTAACAAGACGTTTCTGTTGGAAGGGGCATTGGGTCAGGGACGCAGAGGCCGGCGAGGGAAGGCTTTGTGGGCCAGGTGGCATCGGGCGTCTGACCAGTGGCACTCTGGACACCACGGACCGCAGGGGACCACGCCTCCCTGATCCCCGTGGGTCAGGGCCCCGTGCCTGACGTCGCGTGTGTGGTGCCAGCCCCTGCGCCCTTGTGCTCCGCTTTTATAAAGCTTACGATTAGAACTGGAGCACACAGAGGACCCAGGGCACGTGTTTAGGTCATTGTTCTTCAAAAACTCCGAACCCGAGACGTGAACAAATGGGCCAGACCCAGGCATCCCCCGAGGGGAGCACGAGGACAGAGACACCGTGTGCTACCCACTCTCCTGCTTGCTTCGTGCCGTTCTTGGAAGAAAGGAAGCATTGGGGCGTATGACTTACGTGCTGCTTTTGTTTGAAAACTATGGGTCCTGGGAGGTCCCAAACGCGTCTTGTTTTCCCCGGCAGAGGCATACAGGGTTACACAGTACTTTGTATAAGGGTCCAGGGGTTCCAAAGAAGTATTGTTTGAGTTTCGATCCAGTTCACGGCAGGCGCCACCTCAGGGAGGAAAAGAAAACATTTATTAAGTCATTACAAGTCAAGAGGACCACACCCTTAGTTCGGCGTCGGCACGACATCATTTCTAGCCAGCTGCAAGCCCAGTGGCCGAGAAAATGTGTGCAAATATACCCTTGGCGTTCAGAAGTCCATGCCAGGGCCGGCGATTACCTTGAACCAGTTCCACTGCTATACGCCGAGTCCCAGGTTCAAATATCCCGGCTGCATGAACTCAATTTGGTAAATAAACCATTTAGTGAGTCGAGGCACTTTGCTTAAGACGGTGTTTCCTTCCTGGGGGAACAGCTCTCAGTGGGTATTATGGAAGTCTTGACTTGCGATGGTTCAGAAAGATGATGTTTTTTAAGCGAACCTTTTTCTAATGCTCAACCTCCAAACTCGGCCCCTCGATGCTAGCTAGCTACCGTGGGGGTTCTAGATGCATGGTCCATCCGACCACCAATAACCAGGTCTGCTCGACAGTAATTCATGGCGTCTGAGAAATGGAGGGGAAGTTCGGGCTGGCAGCAGAGTGGGAGGGGCCTCTTCCTGAAGACGCGTGAGGCTGGACAGGTGGAGGGGTGACAAAAAACCTCCACGAAAGCAAGGACGATTTTGGGTTGAGGGATGAGCCCCAGTGAGACAGTGGGCTCTGGCTGGGGAGTCGCGTGCGTGGCAGGACTTGTCTCACGGTGTCCGAACACGCAGGCAGAAGAGTCAGCATTGGCGAGGATGAGAAATCACTAGCCACTGACTATTTCCGAGTAGTCCAGTGGCCTCAAGGCAGAAGGGTTAAAGGACAATTCGAGTGGCACCCTGCTACCAGACAGCAGTTAGAGTGACAATAGCATTAACACCACCCGCCCTGACGGGTGGGACTCAGGGGGTTGAGCGTTGCCCCACAAACCGAAAGGCCGCCGGTTCAGTTCCCGGTCAGAGCACATACCTGGTTTACACATCTGACCCATCGTGGTCGTTCCGGGGGTTTTGTTCTCTGTGCTGCACTTGTCTCCTCCTTTTGAAAAATAAATAAATAAACTCTCTTTGGAAAGGTTAACCCAGTCACGACAAAAATGGCGCACAGGTCCCTGCACCTGCCAGGCACTGTTTTCAGTGGCGGAAAGGAGCCCCCAGGCCATCGTCGCATCTGATTCAAAAGACGAGAAAAGTGGCCACGGGGACACCGAGCCAGGGATGTGCTGCCCCAGCCGTCCTGTGGCGTCTCCGGGCCACTCTGGGAGAAGGAGACTTGTCCCGGGCCCCACATCGAGCCCACAAACGCTAACAAAGCCTGACGAGCCGGAGACGGGTCGGAGCACCTCATGCCAGCGGCGTCCGCCAACACAGACAAGCACAGAAGTCCTCACGTGATCGCCCTCCTTACGTGGCGGCCCTTTTGATAATCTTTATCAATTGTCGAGCAGGACCCAAATTTGGGATCACTGATACAGAAAATGCACATATCTAAGTAATACAACTTAGTATAAAACTTAGTGCTAAAACTAGGTCATGTTTTAAGTAAAGGCACGCTTTTGTGCTGGGCCCATAGGGCGTGTGGGCCGCGGGCTGGCCACCCCTGCCTTCGGCCCTCTGTGTGTGACCCCCCAGGCAGGAAGAACAAAGCCGGACGGGACCTCCAGGCCCACTGCGTGTACTGTCTGGTGTGGACAAGGGACAAGGGACAAGGGTCTGCAGTGGGGCTGAGCTTTCTCTTAGCGCTGGGCACCGGTCCTGCCGGCCATGCCCATGGACCTGCAGACACTCTACAGAAAAGATCTGGTCTGCCATGTGCACGTTCCTTGTCTCAGTGACTTAGCCACGGTCTCCGTGTCACCGTGGGCTGCTAGACAGAGAGAGGACGTGTCTGCTCTTGCCTCGTTGAGGTTCTGTTTCTCAGAAATCCCCGAAGCTGCAGCTCATGGACTGAACGCCCACCAGGCAGGATCGAAATGAATTGTGCTTATGTGGTTCCACGAAGCTCTTATCCCAGCCCGTTCGACAGCCGGTGTTTCGTGGGGGTCGAGGCTTGGAAGGGGTTTGTTCGTGGGCCCGAATACTGAGCCCAAAGCAGCGTTACTCATTCCCACACTATTTGGAGGACACCGTTGTCTTTCTCCAGCCCTTCAGAGTAAAGATGGGAACTAAGACAGACCAAGAAAGACAAGCGGTGTTGGGGGCGTCCTGGGCTTCAGTCGCGCTGGGGCCGGCGAGGTCACGGTGATCGGACGGGGGTCTGGAACCCGGCTCACAGGGGGCAGGTCGCCACGGCCGTGCCGAGGGCGCCGGGCTCACCGCCTCAGTCCCCGCGTCCAGCCCTTCCCGATTCCTGGTCCCTCTTTCCGGACACGGAACTACCCGCGGTGCAAATTACCTGGTTCACAACAGAGGAGAAAACCACGGAAGAAAGTTGAAGGCGGTGTCCAGGTGACCTCTGCTTTCCTCTCATGTGCGGCAAAGGTCAGGCTGTGCGGCTGTCCCGGGACTGCCGAGAGAAGAGAAAGACGTGAGAATCAGGACATGGGGAAAACACTCTTCACGCTGCAAGCGGGCCCAGGGACAGCCCTATGTTACCGAATGCTGGATTGATAATGACCTCGTAGAAAAGACGCCTGGCCACAGTAAATCTGCTTTTGAGGTCATGTAACAGGGTCACCGTGACCAGGGACAGTCCGCTGGCGCACGGACAATCTGGGGACCCTGCTTTCTTCCCTGCCCGTCACGGCCCAGCCACCTGGGGTTGCTGGAGTTCCCTGTGCCCGCCGAGAGCGCTGTCACCGGCAGGACCGATGGCGGGTCCCACAGCCATTGTGTGAAGTGTCCCTTCTCCGAGTTTCCAGGGACCCGCCGTGAAGAAGGCAGGGCGCGCTCGCACGGCCCGCTCGGAGCCTGGGTCCCTGCGGGTCGGCACCTACGCACCCCGGCAGGGTCCCCGTCACCCTCCAGGCAGACAGTGCTCGCGTCACCCCAGTCAGGGGGGTCCCCCAGGCACCCTCGGGCCTGCTTTCTGTCCCTGCGGACCCGGTCTGTCTCCTCGCCCATTTCACACGGACAAAGCCAGGGCAGGCGCTGCTGGGGCCCGGCACGCGGCACTGCACACGCGGGTGGGTGCGAGAGCTGACCGCCCGGGGACGCGGCTGGGCCCCCTCATTCGTGAGCGGCGGTCCACGGCGGCGAGGGCGCGCGCCCGCCCCCCCGCCCCCGACCTCTTCGCTCTCCGCTGCGGGACGCGGCTCTGCCCCCAGGCCTCTGCCGTGGTGAAGGGAGCCGCCGTGCGCACGCGTGCAGAGGTCCTCGCGGGGGCACGAGCTCCCCTCCCCCGCACACCCCTGCGGTGGCGGCGCTGGGTCCTCACCTCGTCACCGGCAGGATGCTCGGTCGGTTTAGCGTTAGCCAGTCTGGCGAGCACGTGAGGCCTTCATGGCCTCGCTGTCTGGAGCTGCACCCCCCAGCCGCCCCCACGATGACGTGGGGCGTCCTTCCCAAGCCCTTACTGGCCGTGCACCTGTCTTGTGTGTGTGTGTGTGTGTGTGTGTGTGTGTGTGAGAAGCACAGGTTCAGAACGCTTGCCCATTTTTAACTGAGGCGCTCAGGTCTCATTGTGCAGTTGAAAGAAGTCTCTGGGTTTTGGAAAAATGCTCTTAGTTTAAATAAATTAATTGTGGCTCTTTTTTCACAACACATGGCTCTATCCCTTATTTCCTTAATGGCTGCATTCAAAGAGTGAGGATGCTCCATTCTGATGATGCACAATCAGTGTAATTTTTACAGTTATTCTTGCTTTCTGCGCCAAGAAACGTCTGCTACGCTCAAGGAGCAAAAACACCTCTCTCGTGTCTTCATCTGGACATTTTATGGTTTTAGCCTTAGCTGAGGTCTGCAGTCCACCCTGAGTGAACTTCTGTGTTTGCTGAGGGCCGGCGCTCGGGAAAAGCAGAGCTGGCCGGGTGCGGCGGGGGGCACCGCGACCCGCATCCGCCTGCGGCGCGCGGACCGCACGGCCGCCGACACCCGGCCGGGGCTGTCGGTTCCGACGGGCCGCCTGAGCGAGGCGACACGAGTGTGTTTCCGAATCCCTTTTTCCAAACTGCAACGTCAATTTCTGTGATGCCCCCAGAGTCATAACCATATAAAAAGAAAAAAGTTTTTATGTGTATATGTAAGTGCCATACTCACTTTTAGGTTTAGTTCGAATAGTCTGAGTTTGTTCAGTAATGTGATAGTTGTCAAAGAACACTTGTGAACTGCAATTATAATCTTGATCAGGTTGGAGGCCTTTTGCTTCAATTCTGGCCATTTTTGAAATTTCAGTATCTGAAAGAAATAAATATTGCATATGAATGTCTTAATACAATAAATCACATAACTTCCTTTTCAGATTTCACGTTTAAAATTACTATCTATTAGATTGCAAACCTGTGCAAATGGCAAAAATGATGAATGAAAGGTCCTGAAAACTATTATCACAGCACATTATTTTAGCACACTCGACTTTAAGGAGAGTCCCAGGAATTATGGTGGATCTTGAGAACGTGTCTCGTGTGACCGACGGGGCGAGCCCATGCTCCGTGTCCGGAACTGAGACCGCACCGGAGGGAGCTGTCACCCAACAGCCAGCGGCCTCAGGTCACACTGTGTCATCGCCGGTCCGGGCCTCGCTCACCTCACGCTCACACCCCAGCTGGACGTACTCACCCCTGGGGGGGGGTGTCTGCCCGTCTCCCCAAATACGGCCTCGCCCATGGCTTTGTGCAAAGGGAGGGAGGTCCCACCTCAATCAATTCAAGTAAAACGGGGGGTTAAAGAGCACCCAATCAGTGATCATTAAACAGACACGCCAGCTCAGGCACGGCCCCTCACTCATGTAAACCCAGGCTCGCGCTGGGAGACGCTCTTCTCCCAGCTCACGCGCATCTGCGCGGTCTCCGGGGTTTGTGCACTCTGCGGGGCGCGGGCTGACCGAGTGGCCTCTGGCGTCGTGCGGCCGCGCGCGCGCTCCCCTTGCCCTCCCCTGCTGGCGCGTCACCCCTTCTTTCCGACGCTCCTCGCTGGCCACCTTCCACGGTGCCTTGCGGGGGGGCGGGGGGCGGCTGCACCCGAACGGACTTCTGCTATTTCAGAAGGTTTTTGTTTTTTTTTTGGCAGGGGGGAGGATTTATCTGTTTTATAAATTCGAGTGCTGTGGAGCACGCAGTGATCTGACTCCAGACATACCAGAGACAGAGAGAGGGAGAAACAGAGAGAGAGGGAGAGAGAGAGGGAGAGAGAGAGAGGAGGAAGAGGAGGAGGAGGAGGAGAGGAAGAAGAGAGAGAGAAGGAAGGAAGGAAGGGAGGGAGGAAGGAAGGAAGGGAGGGTGGGAGGAAGGAAGGAAGGGAGGGAGGGAGGGAGGGAGGGAGGAAGGAAGGAAGGGAGGGAGGGAGGGAGGAAGGAAGGAAGGGAGGGGAGGGAGGGAGGGAAGGAAGGAAGGAAGGGAGGGAGGGAGGGAGGGAGGGAGGGAGGGAGGAAGGAAGGAAGGAAGGGAGGAAGGGAGGAAAGGAGGGAGGGAGGAAAGGGGGAAGGAAGGAAGGAAGGGAGGGAGGGAGGAAGGGGGGAAGGAAGATAACTTCCCATCACAGAAATTCGGATCAATGCTATATTCTTACCACATTGATGTCTGTACCGAAGTTTGCTTTTGTCACAAGTGAAGGTTCCCTTAGGTGTCCAAATTAAACAAATAGAAATGTCTGCATCATCCTGTTTTGTACAGGTTTCCAACTCAAAATGGCCAGGGCCTGTCCAGGAGAAGACACGGAAACAGGTGATGAGCATTTCACACTGCGCGCCCTGGGTTCAGCTCTAGTCCCTGAGAGTCTGTTCCTGCCGTAGAAATCCTGCTCAAGACAAGCGTTAAGATTGCTTGCGAAAAACTCCAAACTCGGGGTTTTGTGTTTCTTGATTATTGTTTCTTCTTCTTTTTTTTTAACATCACACATTTTGGTGACATTTTATTTCAAACGTGTGCTACTTTTAAAAAACCGAGTCCGACCGAAGGTCTGGATGAAACTGCGTTTTTGCACATTTCAGAAACCCTCGGTCCGTGGTATTTTCCTGTTTCTATCCTCACTTTCTGCTGTTCGCCCTTCGGTTTTTCGCTGAATGGTTATCACACAGAGTGCGGGGCTTCCTCTGGGGGAATGCCTTTTTAAAAAGTTGTTACTTTCTGTTTTTTTAACGGGTGACTTATCTCAGTAATCTTAAGAGCAAGTGAAGAAGTGAAAGAACGTTTTCCCAGAAAACCGCTGGGCTCAGCCTCCTCCCACGCTCAGTAATTGACCGACAATCGCGAAGGGGGACAGGACGTGAGAGACTCCACCCGCACGCGGAGGTGGTCCCCCCCGCCCTTTTGCAGACGTGTCGCAGGGCAGGTGGGGGCGGGGGGCGCTCAGACCCCACTCTCAGCAGAGGCCGAGCCAGCGACACCTCCGGAAGGCCCCCCTGGGACACCGGCTCTCCTTGTCCGTGTCAGAGTAGTTTTGTTCTCGCCACAAGCATCAAGTCCTTGACGCTGCCATCTCCCCCCGGCGTATTTCCAGACACACCCGAGCCTGAAAGGCTAAATATGCACACGGACGTATTTGGTGGCGTGGATGAAGGAGAGAAGCGAGCTCTCGGGGATGAGCCCTCCGTTGGAGTGGATCTGCGGGAACGCAGAGGGCTCTCGGGGCTGCTCACCTCCGCTGGGGGCGGGGACCAGACGGCCGCCCCCTCTGGTCCTGCCAGCTTCCTCCCCTCAGCCCGGCCCTGTCACCTGGTGACCCCGGGTGCCCTGGGAGGCGGCACGCGGGACAAGGAGCCGTTTTAGTTGATATACAAGTAGCCATCGATTTATACTTACCTGGGGGGACGTGTAATGTGAGTTTTTTTGCACCGGTGCATGACTGACCCTCTATGTCAACATCACGAGTCGTACATTCCTCCAGGTCAGCGATCTCACCGTTTGCACATGAGTTAGGGGTACATGTCACATTTCCATTGACGTTCAGTTGTGCCTTATATTTATTAGTCTTATTGTCATAGTGATAAGTCACAGAGATGTCTGCAAACTCTTGCTCTGAAAGCAGAGAAAACAGGGAGGGTTATTTTTATTTTTCAGAACAAAATAAACCTACATTTAATGCACACTCCTTACCACATGCTTCCAAAAATATCAGATCGTCCACGAAACATCACCAGGAACACGGAAACAGGAGGAACACGGCAAGGAAGGGACAGAAGGAACACGCCCCCCCACCGCCCCCCAGCAAGCCTCTTCCCTAACCGCCTCCACTGCTTCACCGAAGACCCCCGCTGGCGAGTGCAGCCCGGAAGGGTCTTGGACGGGTGTCCGTCTTCCTGTCCGGACCGGACAGGCCAGGAGAGCAAAGGCCAGCCCGCCGGGCTCCTCGCTCTCGAACCAGGTGCTCGTCCGACACTGGTCACTGGGGGTGGGGGGCCACTCGTCCCGGATGAACTGGCGACTGAGCGGACAGTGCGTCCGACACGTTTATTTTTGCTTTCCGGTTCCCTTTGCATTCTAAATTGTCGTTCCCCGTCTTCCGTTCCTCCCAACTCGGGGGACACGAACTACGTAGGGACCCCAGGCCTCGTCCTTCCCGGACTTGCGTGCAACTATGGAGAATCCACCCTCCCTGGAGAATGCCGGCTCACCCCGCATTGTCGCCTTTACTGGACCACACTCTGGCGACCGGGGCAACAGCGCCTTTCAACCAACACTAACTTATTCGCTCACTCATTAATGCGGCGAAAGTGAGTGAGTCCTTCGCATTACGTTCAAGTCGCTGCCCAAACCGCTAGGAATACGAATGTTTGCTCTCTAACCAGCTGGAGCGTGACCTGGAGACACAGGGATGGAAGCTGCGGAAGACACGGAGACACCCAAGACGGGGTGTGCACGAAGCCACGTGAAAGCGGACGCAGAGAGAGACCGGTTCAGGCGGGAGGAACAGGAGAGTCTTCCCCAGGAGGTGACCGAGTCCGCACTTTATTTACGTATATCACAAGTACCCGAGCGACATAGGTTAGTAGAATTATGTGGTTTCCGGTGTACGGTTCTACGACAGCCTCGTGCGCTCCTGGGGAGACTGTCAACTGGCGTGGCCAGGAAGGAAAACACCGTTGGGCGGGGGTGCTCAGAAAATTAAGGATGGAGCTAGCACATGACCCAGCCACTGCCCTGCTGGGTATGTACGCCCCCAAGTTGGAAAACATTTAGTCGCAAAGATGTATGCGCCCCGGTGTTCCTGGCCACAGGGAGGCCCCCGGGCGCCCTCACGCAGGCTGTGTGAAGGTGCCGTGTGTCCGCACCGCGGAGCACCGCCCGGCCCCAGGAAAGGCGGAGACGCTGCCGTGGGCGGCACCGCGTGCGGGTGGCCCTTGAGACCGTCGCGCTAAGGGAATGAGTCAGAGAACCCGGAGAGGTGTGTTACCCGTCACTCGGGGGTGGGGTACAGAGCTGAAAGCAGAGACTGATCGGATCGCGTTTTAAAATCCGACCAGAATGCAGAAACATGGGTGGGGCTCCCCCGTGGGGGGGGGCTGTATGTGGAGCGTCTCCGTGTTCCTGAAGTGGGGGGTGGAGGGGGAGGGGAGGGGGAGGGGGAGGACGCCCCCGGGGTCCCCGGGCGTGAAAGGTCGCGTGCGTCACGCGAACCCAGGGCGGCTGCTCTGCACGCTAAGGCGCAGGGTTCCCCCGAGACGGGGATAGCAGACGGACAGTTGGAAACTGGGGGGCTTGGCCCAGGCCCCGGAGAGGGACTCGGCTTCCACTGGGAACAGGGGGACACACAAGGTGTTCTCGGGCACCTGCTTGGAGCCAACTGGGTGAGACAGACACAGGGACGGACACAGGGACGGACACAGGGACGGACACAGAGACACAGGCTTGGGTTTTCTTCCCGAGAATCCTGTGGGCACCACCCAGGTCCTGTCCGCGCCCTCCCGCCCGCTCCCACCCTGTCCCACAAACACCCAAAGGCAAGGCTTCCCCGAAGTTGATTAGCGCGTGACCGTCAGTCCTGGGGGGACAGCGGTGACATCAAAGTCCCTGCGCCCTCCCCCCCCCCCGCCCCCAGGAGGAGGACGCGGGCTCCTGAGATTTGGAAGTGGCCGCAGGTGAGAACTGGAGCTGGTGCGCGGAGCCCGCTGGGGCCTCGGAAGCCTGACCCGAGGAAGGGAACCATGAAAGCGCCCTCCGGAAGCGCCATCGGCTGCCGCCCGGGGGGCACACTCACCGCAGGAAGGCAGAGGTGGAGTTGTTGGAGCTGTAACAGAGAGAAAAAATCCGTGTTAGAATCTCTGTGCCCCAGTGATTTTGGGGCAGGGGGCCACGTGGGGACTCTCGGGTCAGGGTTGGCAGGCCACACAGCGCCGGCAGTGCCGGGACAGCGCGCCGGGCAAAGGGGCTGCTTCGAGGGGATGCTCTTGTGTCGCATTCACCCGGTCGCCACGGTGGCGAGAAAAACAACAAGACCTTTGGGGGCTCACGTCTGACGGTGGCTGGCGACACACAGTCGAGAACAGTGTCCAGGCCCTGGACCCCCGACTTGTCTCAGACTACAGCTTAAATCGTTACGATCTCGGGTGGCCGGCCTTTGGCGTCTCTGGGCCGCACGGGGAGGAGAAGGTTGTGCTGGGCCGCCCGTTAAATGTGTCGTGGCACGTGACCGCAAAGAAAATCTCGTGGTGTGTTGAGTCAACGTGCCAGTTTGCGTGGGTCATCCTGGGCTGCGGGACGGGCGCCCTGCCAGCCTCCACAGTTCCGTGGACACGTTTGTGTGAAAACGCAGAAAACAGGCATCTCTCTTTTGGCCTTTGGGAACTCTCTCAACAATTGCTCTCTCCAGAAACGGAGAGGGGGCTTGTGTGGGCGTCAGATTTCACAGGGCGGGGTGGAAACCGGGGGAACTCGGCTACTCCGGACTCTGAGCGGCAGGCCCTGGGAGAGGAGGGTGGTCTCCCAGGCTGGGCCCTGGCGGCCACCGGCGGGCACCCCGACAGCGGGCCCGTCTGTACCCCAGAGGCCCTGCCTCGGCCCTCGGCTCACGCTGGATGGCTGGGCCCCACGCTTTGGCTGCTCGTCACCTGGACTGCGGCGTCCTGGGTGGCATTGCTCGTTTTCACACCAAGACCCAGCCCCGCTCTGAGAGAAAGAGGCCCGGGTCTATGGGGACACCGCTGCCCAGGTTTTTCATGAAGTCACAGCCCCTGGGGCAGGCCACCGGGGGGACGCCGTAGGCTATCACACCACATACACCCCAGACAGGTGGGCATTGTTCCCGGCCGCCACCCGCTGGCCCCCGCCCGCCCCCAGGACTGCACCCCTCGACAGAACGTCTCCAAGAAAGGACCCTCTGGGCGCGAGCGCGTCCCAGGCGCGTGCCGGTGCGGTGACTGCGTGACTGGGGGTGAGGCTGTCACCTAGGGCTGCAGTGGTGAGTGTGAGGTTGTTTGCTGCAGAGCTCTGAGTGGGTGGTGGTGTAAGGGTGGTGCCCGGATCTGCAAGGAAACGAACAGAAGAAGGAACGTTAACGCGTGTGCGGTGGGCACAGGCGGCGGGGAGGGGGGCGCTTGGGCAGAGAGAGCGGGCTGGCCGCTTCTTTGCCGGGGGACCGACAGGCAAAGACGCCTGTCTTATTTTCAGAATAAGCTCGTGTCTCGAAGGTTTATCCCCACGAGGGTCTTTAAGACAACGGGGGGCTGCATAACGTGAACTAAACCTTGTGCAAGCTGGCAGCCACGGAAGGGCACGTGCCCTGGTGTGACCCTTCCCTGGTGTGTGCGCTTCCTCAGCTCCCTCCCGTCTCTCCCTCACACCCCTCCCTACTGGGACTGCCGGCGGGAAGGCCGGCTACTCTCCCGTACCCTCCATGCCACGCCAGACTTTTTGTGTCTTCAGTCCTCACCACGGCCCGGTAAAAGGAGCATCACTGTACCCACTTTACAGGAGGGAAAACTGATCCCCAGGAAGTACCAGTCCCGTGTGCCAAAGTCGGCTACTTCCTGGTCCCCTTTCTCCAAAGGGGGGGACGAGGCTGGATTTGGCCCCAGGGCTCCATCCACTCTTATAGTCGGAAGAAGAAGACAAAACGTGCCCAGAAAGAGCTCCCTGGCGCGTTTCTCTCCCCCGAATGCACAGCAACACACACGCAGGTGCCGAGTGTGCCCGCAGCCGCCCACAGGTTCGCTGTGGCCACATGGAGCGGCCGAGCTCGGCTTTCGGATTGCCTTCTCTTTCCCGTCACCCAGCCCCCCGCCCCCCCCAACGCTGGCCCGACCTGAGGAGTTGGAGGTGCTGTTGGAGGTGCGTGTGGGTGAGGCAGCCGAGCTGCTGAGTGCATGGAAGGCGCTGGAGGGGGTCATCTCTGTCGGGGTCCCTGCAATAAGAAAGGTGGTCAGTTCTGCCCCTCGGCCCTGTCACATGGGGGGGCAGGACAGGGGCCAGACAGCGGGTTACTGAGACGCAGCCGAGCAGCAGATGACCCGTCCCTCCCGTCACACCCCGGGATCTGCGTCCTGCCCGATGTTGGGGCGCAGCGAGGTGGACCTTTCGACACCCGAAAAGTTCACAAGGCTTCGCCGTGGGAGCCCGAATGCTAAATGCTCGGGACCTGGGGGGCGGCTGGGACAGCCCGCAGAACCCCAGTTGCGGCCGAGGGACAGACGGGGGGGGCGGGGGGCTGGCCTGCGGGTGTGGACAGCCCAGGGGCAGGAACAGCGTTCCGGGTGTCACAGGCTGTGTCAGGCCGACACAGGAGGAAGCGCGACACCCCGCAAGCTGAGGGCCTGGTGCGGGGTGCGCCCCCCTCTGGGGAGGGTCCCCTGGCGCGGCTGCGTAGTTCTGCTTTCCCCAAAACGGGGCGGAGCCCGCTCCTGCCCGCGCAGCCGCGGAGCGCCAGGCCTCTCCCGTCCCATGGACGGTTACCATTCTGCCCTCGCTCCGCGGGCGCCCCTGGCCGGAAACGCCAAACTGGCTCGGAACCAGAGGGGGTCCCTGGCACCCCGACATCACGACCCTCCCTTCCCAGTCGTAGGAGAGCCCACCGGGGCAGAACGAGGGGCCGCAGAGGCTGCGTGTCGTGTGCGGCTGGGGCTTTCGGAGGTCCAGTGTCAGAGCGCCCGCCCCACGCCCGCCCGGTCGCCCAGAAGTCCAGCAGGGGCGGCCAGTGGGCGCCCACCGGGCCGTGGTCACGGCCGAAGCCGAAGGACTGCAAGCCGGCCCCTGCGTGAGGTTGTCAGGCTGCTGCACTGCGGCTGGCGCGGTCACCGTCCCCAGCTCCCCGATATCTGCAGCCCGACTGCCCCCGTGTGTCCGCGGAAGGACCCGGCTGCCCGGTCTGAAAACGGCAGCCACGCTCAAGCCGGGGGTGGGGGGCTCCTGCGGCCACTGCCTCACATTCGCCGCAGGGACACCCCCCACTAGGACGCGAAAGGCACCTCCCGCAGTTTTGAGTTGGGGTCCCGGCGCTGCTGCCTCCAGAGGCCACTCCAGCGGCTCGGGGAACGGAAGGAGCAGAGGAGGAGCAGCGCGGCCGGCAGGTCCTCAGAAGGGGGGACCCCGGCGGGCCGGGGCGGGAGAGAGAAAGGCTCTGCGTCCGTGCAGAAGCGGATTTAGACGCAGAACTGACCCCCGGCGCAGTTTTCAAACCGGCTGCGTGTGTTCCCAGCCTTTCGGCCTTTGCTTTTCCCAGGAGACCCCGGTCCCCGTGCCACTCGGAGACCACCCCCCCAAGCCCCCTGACACCCACCGTCCCTCCCCTGGTGGGGGGGATCCCCAGGAAGGCGGAGGCGGGCGTTTTCCATGTAATTGGGCTCATCCGCCCTCACAGGTTCTAACGGGCGGCGTTAGCCCCTGGGAGGGCTCCTTCGTCCGGGCAGAGCGGAGGGACGGGTCTGCGGGACCACCAGCCCCACCCGCGGGTCCCCTCCGGTCCTTTTCCGGCTCCTTCCCTGCCACAGTTTCCGGATCTGCCAGTTTGCTGAAAGCTCCAGTCTGTGCGTTTTTACTGCCGCTGCCGTGGAAACAGCAACGAGGCTGGGCAGGGCGACCGGCTCTTTTCCGGCCCTAAAGTTGGCAGGTCGCCCGGGATGAGGTTTTACGCGGAGGGAACAGGTTGGCGACTTCCAAGGAGCCCTCGTTCTGTCCGACGTGCGTCCCCCCCCCCCCCAGTGTGATTCTGGCGCGGCGCGGGCTGCCCTGTGGACGCCCCATGCGCCTTTGCCCCTCGGGCACTGGGGTCCCGGGCGCGTCCCCGTGGCTGAGCCGGCTTGTAACCCGACAGGCTTGCCTGCGCTTCAGGGCGCAAAGGGGCACCGCGCCGCGGCGTAGACACTGACTTGGAAGTCAAGGGAGGGGCCGTGTCGCCCGGTTTTTATGAACTCGAAGCTGCTCCGCTCAGAGCACCCCGAGGCTCCAGGGGGCGGGGGTCTCCTTCCTTTCGCCGCCTCGTCCTTGACGAAAGCAGCTCAGTCTCCCAGCGATCGCAGAAGTCGCCTGCGCTTCGCTGCCTGGTTTTCCGGAAGGAGGTCTTAGAGGAAAGGCCTGCTTCCGAAGGTGGGTCTTTATTCTAGAAAACCCTCTCCTGCACAGACACGCGGCCCGGATGAAGAGAAACGCAGAGACGGCCCCGAATGACTGCGTCTCGCTCGCTCCCGCCGTTTCCCCGTGTCTCACAGTTCGCCCCCTCACCGCTTCCTCGCCGGGACGGGCCTCCGGGGCGTGGTCCCGCGGGCTGGCTGACTATGAAGGCCCCATCCATCCATCCATCCACCCACCCACCGAACAGGGGGTCCTTCACCCTCCTGGGTTCACCCCTCGCCCCATCCCGAGCACCCTGGCGGTTTTCACGCATCTGCACACACGCACAACCCCGCACACCTGCTGTCTCCGAGCCACCGGCGGCCGGGGTGAGTGAGGGCGGGGGAGCCGCGCTGGGTGCCCGCGAGCCGGGTCCGGCAGCGGGTGTCTGGGGGTCTGTGGACGGTGTCCGGGGTGCTGACGTGGCATCTGAGGCAAGAAAGCGACATCATTTCATCAGCGTGTCCCCACTGCGGTCGGAGAAGTTAAACACTGCGGGGGCGGGGGCGGTCACCAGGGGCCAGCCGCTATGACCACCTACCAGACCTGAACTGACCCACTCTGTGAGAACGTGTGTCTGCCCAGCTTTGATTAATTCACTTAATTTAAAAAAACTAATGCAAATATCCCTGGGGGAGGACCCCAAATAACAAAGCTAGATTATTAATCGTCACTGTATGAAAAAAGATGAACGGTCTCCAATAATTTTCTGGCGTGGAGGATCTGGAACGGAACGAGGGGGACTCTGCTTTGGGGGCCAGCCCAGGGGCGCAGGGCTGGGGGCGGAGCCTGAGCAGGGCATTGCGGCTGCGGAAAACCCAAGTGAGCACGGACCAGGGGCCGTGCAGCCCGGGCACACCCGGGGGCCCCGGAGAGCCCCCCGCCTGCCTCCTGGATCGTACCCGTGGGGGGTTCCCTCCCATCCTTCCTGCCTGCCCCCAACAAGGCGTGCCCCTCTGAGTCTGACCGGCCACTGCTCCATGGACACCTGGGTTCCCTGCCTTTGGGAGACTTTAACACAACCGCGTGCTGGGGTGCTGACACAGGGTGCAGTTAAAGAAACACCGTTCCGGGAACTTTAGGACGAAAACAACCACAGGACAAGCTCCCGTCTCCCCGTTCCGGGGGCCGGGGGCGCCGACCTGTCACACCGGGCCCACTGGCACTGCCCCGAGGGGGCGTCTCCGTGGAGGAGCCCCCGGCAGTAAGAGGTGTCTCGGCCTCTGGGGAGCCACTGTCCGGCTCCGAGGTGCTTGCGGGTGAGGGTGGCGTGGTGCGGGCGGGTGAGCGGGCGGCTGGAGGCTGGGTGCCTTCGGGCGTGGTCGGTCCTGCGGCATTCGTGGGGGACAGAGGAGGAGAAAGTGAGTGCGTGCCTCGCGCCCTGTGGGAAAGAAGGTCCCCCCCGTCCTCGGGCTGGGTCTGTCACCCGTACACACACACACACACACGTCTGTGCGCACGCACCGTCCAGCTGTGGTGCCTGGTGTACACGCGCGCGCGTGTGTGTGTGTGTGTGTGTGTGTAAACGCTCGCACATCTGTGCCCGTGCACGTGCATGAATAGATGCCTACAGAAGCAGGGGTGGGGTAATGCACACTCAGGTAGGAAGCCAGCTGCTGGGCAGTGGCTCAAGAGAACGCACCGGCTAGTGGGGTTAAAACAGCCGCTCCCCGCCGCCTGGCTGGCCGGGCACTGCATTCCCGGCTGCCCGGGGCCGTGGGGGTCAGAAGGACGAGGCACAGGGCGGGAGGCCCGTGGAAAGACACGGGAAAAGGGTGACCCACGAGGAAAAGAACAGAAAAAGACGGAGTCGAACAGGGAGTGCTAGGAGGGCAAGCTTTGCGAGAGGAAGAGATGAAAGACCGAAGCCGACATACACACTAATTTTTTTAAATAAATCAAACTCAGAGAAAGCAAAGACTGGGTGAAAGACCAGCAAACAGAATTCGCAAACAGGTGTAATACAAATGACCCAAGTCTCCAGAAAAAAGTGCATTTTGGGGGAACCAAGGGCACCCCACTGAGGTCCAGGAGACACAGTGTCCGGGCTCAGTTCTTGGAGAGAAGACGGCGTGTGCGTGGTGTGGGGACAGGCGTGTGCGTGGCTCGAATAATGTGAGAATCCCAGGTCCTGCGGGGCCCGCACCACAGGTTCACGCCTTGTTTTCGTGTGGGTGCTCGCCCAGTGAGTGCATTTCCGTATAATAGAAATGGGGGAAGACCCCCCACATTTTTTTTAAAACCCAAAAAAGTGCACTGTGATCTGTGGGCCCTGGGATTACAGAAGTGTAAGGTTTCTACATTTTCTCTGTGTCACATGTTTACTGCCACGAATAGCGAATTCACAGTTTTCAACGTTTAATGCGCCAGAAGGGGACTGTGCCGTTGGAGTACTTTAGGCGAGTCAGCTCGACAAGTTTGGGTGAAAGGAAATGGCCTCAATTGGGGAGACAGAGTGGGAGGAGCCAGCAAAATGCACGGACGCGGTAAGACAGGAAGGAATTAAGAACTGGACTGGAGAGATCACTGAAGAGGAAATTAAGAATATGCAAACGGAAATGGCAGACAGAAGTCCTAGCTTCGTTCACTCATGTCAAAGATGAAGCGAAATCAGTCTCTACTAGATTCAGATAAAAACCTTCCTAACTGAACTGCTAGGGTTGTCATGAAATACTGCAGACCGCTGGGTGGTCACAGAAATCCGGAGTGACAGTCCAGTCGTTACGTGCCATTCCCCCAAGAAGACGTCCAGTCCCTGCGGTCCCACAGCCTGATCACGCACAGCCCATGTGTCTCCCGGGGAGCGTTCGCCCGCAGCCCCTGCTGCCCACTCGGCCGACGCACAGGGGGGCAGCCGCTTCCCTCCCGGCTCTGGTGCAAAACCTTCCGCCCGACCTCGGCCCCTTCTCCCCCGCCCTGCCCGGCCGGGAGAGAGGGCAGAGAGGGAGCGGAGAAAAGGCAGCGGGGAGAGTAGGCGAGAGAACTGAGGCTGGGAAAGGAGGGGCGGAGGGCCTTCAGATCCAGTGCAGTGACTCTCTCTCCGCTTCGTGGAGTGGGCCAGTGACTCATGTGTTGCTCTAGGTTAAACCACCCTCATCGTTGGCAGGGTCTGAGGGGCCATTTCCGCTTCTCCCTTTATTTCCCAGCCCCTCTCCCTGGCCAGACGTGGGTGACAGAGACCAGAAGGAGAACCACTTCAAGTGCCTGCCGCACGCCACCGGGCTGCACTATTTGGGTGAGCAGCATCCCCGAGGGCGACTTCTAGCCGAAGACAGTCCGTCCGGGTGGGTGGGGAAAAGCTACCCAGGAGCCCGGTGCCCTCGCACGCCTCTCAGGCTTGGTGCCGATTCCCTAGTTCCTCCAGCGAGAAGTCAGGCGCTTCTTCTGTCGCCAAGTCTGCCTCACCCTGCACCCCTGCACCCCTCCTCTGGAGGTGCTTCTGGTTTCCGGGGGGAGACACTTCTCACTTGCATTTGGGGCCCCGGCTTTAACTTACCTGGGCTCACCGTTTGGAGGCTCGTGATGACAAGGCCAGGGCAGAGGTCACGGCCGCTGTCTCAGTGAAGCGGTGAGTCGTCCAGCATTTGAGACGTTCCCTCCCAGCCACCCATCCCCGCCCCTCCTGCAAGAACCGCCCGTTTCTGTGGTTGGGGTGAGCTCGCCCCACCGCACACGGTGCAGGTGCCAAGCGGCACGTGAGTGGCCTAAACCCACTACGCGGTGCTGGGCATCCGGGGCTTCCCTCGATTGGTGAAACTTCTCCGCCCCATCACAGAAGCACAGAGTTCTAACACCAGATCTTTTCAAAAAAATAAAGGAGTGTGCTTCTTACGCAGAGCCCGGACTGCTTCGTTACTGTTTGCATGGTTCTCTGGCCCCACGGTGCGGAATGAGCTTTCACTCATTACAGCGAGCTTTCCTTTAATAACCCAGCCCTCACGGCCTTTCCGGTGGGCCTGGTTGGACCGGGCGGCGTGGGTGCTGATTGTATCAGGATGGTCTTTGGGCTCTACTCCCTCTCTGAGCTCCACTGCCAGCCACGTTCCTACTTCCTTAATCAATTTATTGATTAGGAAATCAATAAGACATTTTCAATAGCAGTAACATTTAAGTGGCAGCATTTATTTTTTAACTAAATGCAACCTAATATTTCTCTCTTACTTTGCATGTAACATGTATAAATGTGTTTCCAGCATCTATGTTGTTTAGATTTAATGTGTCACAGGAGTAGGACACTTGGTAAGACTACACCCAGGTGTGGCAGTAGAATTTGGGAATAATTATCACAAAATATCCAAATAGTCTCAAAGCTTTCCCCCTGAAGGAATATATGTTTTACAAATGGTTATGTTTAAACTTCTCTCTAATCTCTCAAATAATTCCTTAACCTGTTTTTTTAAAAAATATGGTTTTGTGATCTAACTTGAATCGATTTATTTGCAATGTTAAAATGTACAGAGATTGGGATCTGTTGTGTGATTTACTGTACAGGTAAAGAAAAGCTATCCTTCATGCACAATAACATACTTACAGATAATAATATGTCCAGGTGGTTATCTAACATTATCTCTTAGAAGGAGACACAGTAAGGACAACGGAACATTCTAGTCATGGAAGTTGGTCCTCACAGAGTAATTTCATTAGATAGTAACAAACATTCTATCAACAATAATCATAAACTTTGCAACAAAGAATAAAATAAGTAAAATGCAAATAGTAATTCTTACCAGAAGTAGTGAGATCAGTTTTATTTCCTGAAAAAAAAAGGAAAACAGACACCTCTTAGAAAGTTTCACGTTTCACCCATGCGTATACAAACATGAGTCATGTACATGTCATTCCTGTTGGTTAACGTTCACCAAGTGACACTTTCCAGTGCCTTTCACCCCACGAAACTACCTTCCTTCTCTCAGTGCTAGGTTCACACAGCCTAAACGTGTCAGAACTACGCTATCGGTTTTCGAATTCTCGGGTAAAATGGGAAAAAGAATAGGACAAAGGAGAGCTACTGGGATTCCGTTCGAGCCTGCAAAGGACTTTGGAAAGTTTTCCCAGACGCATCACGGGTTTTTTAGGTAATGGTTGTTTATTGAGCTACTGCTGTGTGCTAGACAGGATGCCGCATTGCAGCCATGGAACGTGACCAGGACAGAGCAGTTCCCTGCCCCAGATAAGCTCGGGTTGGTGTGACATGCAGACTAAAAAACTAAAAAACGCCGTGGAGGAGCTGAGACAGCAGGCCAGTGACAAGCAGGCTGACTTTCCCTGGGCGACGGAGGCCGCAGGAACGTGGAGGAAAAATCTGACAGTGGATTGATTCGGTGGCGGAGAAAGGCGGACGGTTACGTGGCTCTGCCAGCAAATCCACAGGCCACGGTGCTCCGTGGCTCTGATTTATTGCCACCAAAATATGTGCGGAGCATTCTCTGAAAAGGAATTAGAGGCCGTCGTGTGTTTATTAGGGAAACGAGAAAGAGGATGCTGGGACCGTCAGGACGCTCTCTCTTTTTTGACGATGGAACTGTGAATGGCAAAGGGGCCAGCAGTGTCTCCGGCCAGCGGGCTGTTCCCTGGCCCGCGGGGGTCAGGGCCTCGGAGACACGCACCTCACTCTGACCGGTCCCCCAGCAATGCCTTTCTTCCTAAAGGAAGTACAAGGACACACGCCACACGGTGCTATTTTAATCTCAGTTTTGAAAAGGAGACCAAAACGGACTAGGCAATTTCTAAAGATTTCTCTTTTTCTAAAGACTGATCAAACGACGGTGTATTATTACACCCTTGGCTAGTATTTTCTCTCTTAAGCATCGCAGCAACCCCGAGAAGCTGAGAGAAGCAGGGTGTCCGGCCACGTTCGCAAGGCTGGCATGGGCTCGCCCAGGCTCGACCTTGAGCCTGTCGGGCTCTGCAGGCCACGCCCCGAACCCTCTGCCTCCCGCCTTCCTCCTCCTCACAGCCCGCGCTCTCCAGCAGAGCTAGCCCCGGTTTTAGGTTCCATGGAGATTCGTGTTTGTTAAAAAAACCTCGCAAGCTAAGTAAAAGCCATCTTAGACGGAACTGGACTACAGCGTGAGTGACTTAGAGCGTGAGGACAAACTGCACCTCCCCACAGGTATTCAGGTCAAATCCCACACAGATGGCACAGACAGCCAGGGGAAATCCAGAGGGTGTTGGTTTAAGTTAGTGCAGAATCCTGTTTTGACAGGCAAGTTGAGCTGCGGTGATGTCCAGCTCACAGGCCTCTGGTTTAGCCGGCAGGAGGCTTTGGAGCTTGGGACCCGACTGAGCTCTCTCTCCCTCTGTCTCTGTCTGCCTGGTCTTCACTGCCACCCCCTCACCCACGCCTGTGGCACCTCCGTGCTTCTGTCTGTGTCTGTGTTACTGGTCTCGTCACGACTCCATGTCCAGCACTCCTCCGAGTCCCTTCACCTTTAACGCAACAAAGTGCAGCACCCGGGGAAGTCACCGTGACGGGGAGCGATGAGTCCCTGTTACTTCCCTTTCTCGTGTGCTCACACTCACGTCCCACACAGGCTACCCAGGTGGAATGGGCACGTTTTGCACTGGTCCGTCTCGGACCCCGAATCTGAATTTCCGCACGGAGCGACTGTCAGGCTGTACTACAGCACTGCAGCTCATCTTACGTGTTATTTCAGTTTCTTTACAGAATAAACCACACCCGAACAGCCTTTTGTCTCTTGGAAAGAAGACCCCACCCCTTCAGTATCACCATTTGGACTCGGAGTAAAACTTAAATGGCGTGTCCTTCCTCACAGTCGAAGACTGTTCATCAGCAGACGTCCGAGTCCCCGGAACACTTGGAGTCGACCTCATACATCGCACGAGAATTGCTAGGCACTCCAAAATCATGGAAGCACTCTACAGTAATTTCTTTTACATGCAAGCCACCCCCAGCGTGAAGGCAGGATCCCTAAGAAAATATTCAGGGGCCAGAGCAACAGATCTTGGAGCAACAGTTTCATCCCATGAGCCGTATCCATTCGACTGCACAATCTCTTAATTTCAGTTATTTTTTAAATATAGAAAAATTGACCGCAAATCTCAAATCAGAAACATGAGTAGGTGTATTGTAGTAAAGACAAGGTATCCCTATTTCTAAAAGCTCGAACTGCATTTTTAAACTCTCTCTTACATTCTATAGTCACACCAAACAAGCCTAATAAAAATGGAGCACAGGAATATACTTAGTCCTTTTATATATTATCCTTTGACTCTACTCTTTTGAGAAACACGTATGTCTATATAATTTTTCAATGTTAGTATCTGGGTTTTCATTTAGACAAAAGTGTTTCTACAAATTTTCCAGTAGGTGGCGCCAGAGCACCAAAAATCTGCCCGCCGCCGTTAGGCAGAGCTCCTACAACTCCAGAGAATCAACCAGTGGAATTGACCTTGGACAGTAAACGGGTTAAGACTCAGAGAACAGAGCCCTCGATCTTCGAAGCTGCATTATTCTAAGTCCCGTATCGGTCCTGAATTTGCCTCTCCCAATACGTTCCTTTACAACTCAGAATGTTTCCGTGACCCCACTTCCAAGTTCCCTTGAAGCCACACCCCCGAGTCCCCATCAGAGGTTTCAGCAACAGCTAGGAGCCAGTTGAGTGAGAATGGCGTTTGGGAAGATGCCCCTGGGCTGTAAGTACCACCTTCCCGCCCTCCTCTCCCCACACCGCCCCCCGCCCCGCCCCAAGGAGCGGAGTGCCCTTTCCACAGGGATTTACACTGGTCTGCTTGACGACTCCCACAAAAGCACGAGGTCGGAAGGGCGAAATGAAACAGACGGAACACGCGCTCACTCTCGGCATCTCTTACAACAAACGGGAAGAGCAAATGGAGACAAAAACGAAGGGCCAGCTGAACCGCCGGGTCGGCCCGGTTTTCCTCGCTGAGGGAGGCTCCGTAGCAATGCACACAGAAGTACACGGCCCCGCCTCTCCTCACCCCGCCGGGACCCCGGCCGGCGGCCCACGGACGGTGCGCCCAGGCAGGCGCACCCAGCGAGCGAGCATTCGTGGAGCGAGCCCCGTGCGAGCGGCAAGTTCTCGCCCGTCTGGGTCTCAGAGGGCCGGGGGACCGTCTTCCCTCCCCTCCCTCCTCCAGCTCCCCGGGAAATCCATGAGCACCGCGCCCTGGAGCCACCCCTTATCTCGTGGCAGACGCAGGGTGCAAGCCCGCGGCTCACCCGGGATTCTGCACTTAATGGAGGAGTGGGCGGTGATCTTTTCTCTTTTACGGGGAATGGCTCGGGGGCTGAGGAGCTCGGTGCTTTGCACGGTCGACTCGCCGAGGGGGAGGAGTTCAATGTGAGGCAGTGTGTGCCTGCTAATACGTTTCTCACTCTTTTTTCACGTGAGCACATCAGCTGCATTGCTACTACTCCTGGAGCCCGATGGGTGAGCCATTGCCGCTTTCCTGCGGAAGATCACGTCAGGCCTTTCTCCACGCAGGGAACACAGGGGTTAACACACATGGCTATGTAGCTGCTTTGAAAGACTCCGCGAACTTACATGCACTCCAGTGGGGCTGCGATCTCCGAGCCCACCCCTCGCCACAGAATCCCAGCCTGCCTTCCTGGGGTCTTCACTCCTAGACGCTAAGGGGCTCCCGAGAAGCCCCAGACCAAAGCCTCAGACGAGGCAGAGGCCCAGAGAACCGGAAGGGGAGCGGGAGAAGTGGAGAGCACGCAGGGGCAGGAGAAACCCCGAGACCACCAGCAGCCCACGTTCTCCGAAACGAGGCCGGTGCGTCCACGAACAAGGAGTTGGGAAAAGCAGCGTTTCAAGGCTGAGAGAAGAAGCCCAGAGGTCCTACCGGAAATCTTGGGGGAATAAGGAAGAAAAAGAAGGAGGAACGGCACAGCAGCGAATACCACTTGAAGGCGACGACACATCCTCCGATGCTCGGGTTTGCTTCTGGGGAGCGGGAGCCCCGGCGGGAGCCGCCGGGGACAAAGGACGGGCTTTTCGTCACGGACTTCATCGCGCTGTTAAAGCGTTCGGCGCGCATTTGGGTAAAAACGCAAGTCAGAAAGGCGTCGGTGCTGGAAACGGAGGACACAAGGGGCAAAGGTCCAGGGGTTCTGGGGCAAAATAGAATCAGGGGGGTTGTTATTTTTAAGTACAGTAATGACATCTAGCAGCTGCCCAAGGAGTTTCCCCATGTGCCACAGCCTGCTGTTCACGTGTGAGCGCAGACATGTACATGCATGTGAGTCCAGACGTGTATGCACACCTCTGCACCTAGGCCTGTGTTTATATGTATTTTTATATTGGGCTTAAAATGCTGTGTCGCCCCGTGCAGCCACGCTGGTTAGCTACACAAGCAACAGAAGCATTACTAAAGACTAGACGGCCCTTTCTGCAAGACTGATCACTTTTTTGCCTCATTGTCCATCTTCAAACAGGCATCTCTAAGTGGGGGGGAGCCATGAGAGGGTCACAGAACAAGCGGCAAAGACACCCCCTCAGGCAGACTCTGTGAAAACATTTCCCGGGAGAGGGGGATTCTCCTAAGGAGTCTTTTTGTTTCTCATGAAAATGTCTCTTTTCATTTATCTAAACCCTGGGGTAAAGACCTAACTTAGCAAACGTACACTGGGCAGCAAAAACGTTTTAGTTCTATCCATCCCTTAGCAAATGCATGTCGCTGTAGCTCTCTGCTTCCTCCGGGGTGTGGAGCCAGCTCATCGCCGGGAAGCACAGGCCCCCGGGAGAAAGGTCCCCTTAGCGCCCCC